CTGCGGCACGCCTGCAACAGCAGCAAGCCCACACAACTGCCTGGTAGTTAGTTCCCGAAGCTCCGCACGGAGCCAGGTTTCACCGTGCTCGCCAAACCTTCTCGCAGACCATTCAGCTGCTGTGGCGGCAACGCCATGGTACTATGTACTCCTACTACTACTACTACTACTACTACTACTACTACTACTACTAGTAGTATTACTATTACTACCATCTACTAGTACTACTATTACTACTGTTTTACTACTATTTCTATTGCTACTCTTACTTCTATTACTACTATTACTACTATTACTACTATTACTACTATTACTACTATTACTACTATTACTACTATTACTACTATTACTACTATTACTACTCTATTACTACTTTTTTCTGCTACACCTTCATGCGCAGCAAAAGTGTTAACTTTACCTCGCGTTCGAACACTCGACAACGCCAATCTCTGTGAAGGGTTGCAAAATTCATCTCAATGCACATAAAAAATGCAACTTTACACCGCGTTCGTGCGTTCGACCACGCCAATCCCTGTGAAGGGTTGCAAAATTCATCTCAATGCACATAAAAAAATGCAACTTTACCTAGCGTTCGTGTGTTCGACCACGCCAATCCCTGTGAAGGGTTGCAAAATGCCAATCCCTGTGAAGGGTTGCAAATTGCACCTCAATGCACCTAAAAGCACTTCAAAGTAGCAACTTTACCTCGCGTTCGCGCACTCGATCATGCCAATCCCTGTGAAGGGTTGCAAGTTCGTGCACTCGACCACGCCAATCCCTGTGAAGGGTTGCAAATTGCGCCTCGAAGCGCATTAAAAGTAATAACTTTACCTCGCGTTTGGGCGCTCGACCATGCCAATCCCTGTGAAGGGTTGCGCGGCGCGCTTATTAAGTTAAAAAAATTGTAACTTTACCTCGCGTTTGAACGCCCGAGGAGGCGAATCCCTGTGAAGGGTTGCGCGGCGCGCCTAAAATGTGTAACTTTACCTCGCGTTTCAACGCCCGAGGAGGCGAATCCCTGTGAAGGGTTGCGCGGCGCGCGAAAAATGTGTAACTTTACCTCGCGTTTGAACGCCCGAGGAGGCGAATCCCTGTGAAGGGTTGCGCGAGCACAGCAAAATGTGTAACTTTACCTCGCGTTTGAACGCCCGAGGAGGCGAATCCCTGTGAAGGGTTGCGCGAGCACAGCAAAATGTTAAAAAATGTGTAACTTTACCTAGCGTTTGGGCGTTCGCCCATGCCAATCCCTGTGAAGGGTTGCGCGAGCACAGCAAAATGTGTAACTTTACCTCGCGTTTGGGCGCTCGAGGTGGCCAATCCCTGGGAAGGGTTGCGCCGGGCGCCTAAAATGTGTAACTTTACCTAGCGTTTGGGCGCTCGAGGTGGCCAATCCGTGTGAAGGGTTGCATTCCCGATGGACGACGACGGTGCCACCCCTGGCAATAGAAGAGAGATTAGATACCGAGATGTAGAGAGTATAGAGAGTATGTAGAGAGGTAGAGAGTAAGTCAGAGAGTAAGTCAGAGAGTATAAGTCAGAGAGTAAGTCCAAGAGTATGTCACAGAGTAAGTCAAGAGTAAGTCACGAGATGTAGAGAGTATGTAGAGAGGTAGAGAGTAAGTCAGAGAGTAAGTCAGAGAGTAAGTAAGTCAGAGAGTAAGTCAGAGAGTAAGTCAGAGAGTAAGTCACAGAGTAAGTCACAGAGTAAGTCAAGAGTAAGTCACAGAGTAAGTCACAGAGTAAGTCACAGAGTCATAGAGTAACGTAGTCAAGTGAGTAAGTCACAGAGTTCTCAAGTTCATAAAGTCATAGAGTCATAGAGTAGTCAAGAGTAGTCAAGTTCGGTCTTAGAGTCATAGAGTCATAGGGTCATAGAGTCGTAGACTCAAGTGTCAAGTCATAAGGTCATGTGCTCGATTCTATGTTTGTCATCTATGTACTTGTCTACCCGGCTCCGCACGGAAGAACCCTTCGCGACGCTTTCGGGAAAACTTTAAAAAAACATCTTTGGGGACACTATACGGCCGGACTCCAAAAAGATTGTAGTTCTTTTTGTTTTCCTTAGGAAAAAATGGTTTTTAGTGGAAAAACCAACTTTTTCCTAAGAAAAAAATGGTTTTGGTGTGAAAAACCAATTTTTCCTAGGGAAAAATTATTTTGGTGTGAAAAACAACTTTTTCCTAGGAAAAAAATTGGTTTTGTGTGAAAAACCAATGTTTTCCTAGGAAAAATACGGTTTTGGTGTGAAAAACCAACTTTTCCTGGAGAAAACCAAAAAAATATCTTCTTGGAGTCCGGCCACATAATTTACCAAAACTTGTTTTTTGTTTTTTGTTTTTCGTGGGAGAAGTTGGTTTTCCCCTCCAAAACCATCGTTTTCCTAGTACAAAAGTTTGGTTTTCACGGCAAAACCATCTTGTTCCTAGGAACAAGTTTTCACTCCAAAACCATTTGGAGTCCGGCCGTATAGTTTCCCAAAATATATACTTTTTGGTTTTTTTGGTTTACCCTAGGAACAGGTTGGTTTCTCATTGGAAAAGTACAGTGTTGAGTTAAGTGTGTGCTCACGTCGATCCTGCACGAGATGCCTGGCGGTTGGTTTGTGAATTGAAAAGTACAGTGTTGCCGTTGAGGGCGTGCTCACGTCAAACCTGAACGACTTGTCTAGCACGTTCTGTTGACATGTGTGCTTGGTTTCAGCAGTCATTGAGAGATACGGAATCCGGACCTGCCGGAAAAGCTGGTTTGACACGGTATTTACGATGCAAAATGAGGGTCGGTAGTTCTTCGGGGGAGGGGACACCATACAGATATATGGTGCCATATGTACATACATATATATATATATATATATATGTGTGTGTGTACATGTGGTCACCCGCACGTGCACACACACACACACACACACCATGATCCATACCAGCCTTCTCACCGACTGCTGCCGACTCTGCTTGTGGTCTTGCAAGACTAGAAACCATCGGTGTTTGCTGTGGTATTTCCATGTCACCTTGACTACCACTGGTTTTACTTATTTGTGTGATGTGAAAACCACCTGAACCTCTGTTTGCCCCTTCGTGTTGCGTGCCTACCGCTTGTTTCTCGATAGTATAGCGAACCACCAGACACTCTCCCTAAACCCTAAACCCCAAACCCTTGAGAAAACCTCCAGAAAGCTCCTCCACATCTGGAGAATCAGCGCTGTTCTCTCAACAAGAAGCTCTTCATCACAGAGAAGCATAAGAAATCCTCTCCATCTTTACCAGTGTCCAACAGCAACAGAACTCCTAAACTCTAACAATGTCTAAACGGGCTTTTGCTTTCCTATCCCTGGAAGAAATGTAAGATCACGCCTTTATCTGTAGCTGTTGGAGTCAAGAAGGTAGCTCCATCATGTCTTAACCCCGTTTGATCATCATGTAGAGTTCGTGGATCTTCGTACGTTTTACACCCAGCATAACATGGCTGCGCTTCTCTTAACACCATAAGAGACGAAGGGACTCCTTCGGTGAAAACAAACATAACAATGGTACTTTTCGCCGAATAGCCACAAGACTACAAAGATGCGTTATTTATCAGAAGTCTGCGCCCACCCGCTGCCGATAAGATACAAATCAGCTTGTGGGCGGTGTAGATGTGTAGATGTGATGTTGTGTATGTGACGCTTCGCATCTGGATGTTTTGCCTCTGATGTTCTGAAACACGCCTATTTGGACAGGGCTCAAAAACGTCCAAAATACCCTCAATCGTCGCATGTATGATCCAGAGCTGCAATCCCCCCATCCCGCTGCGCATAGGGTTGCTCGTCTCCCTGTCACTCGGATCGTGGCATCGACGTGGGCTGCCCACACAACATCAACGATAGCAATGCAAATTACGACTTCGTGACAGCCTCCTCCCATGTCTACAGATCGGCCCACGCCCGTCGCGTCTGTTTTGGAAGCAAGACGTGAGATGGTGACACACACATTCCTACACCCTATCACATCGCAAGGTGCCCAGGTTTTAAAAAAACAGAGGTTCTTTAGTTTTTAAATTATTTTTGCAAAAAAACAGGTGCCCTATCCTTATAACCGTGAAATCCCCAAGCTTTCATCAAGCTGCTCGGGTTCGCTGTAGCGCTCCAGCAGCTCCTTCCACCCCTGGCAGCTCAGAACTGTGATATGTAGGGGCCCTAAATAGGGACCTATACTACTGTCTTCTTTGGTTAGAACTGTGGACTCCTAATATGAACCTTAGGGCCCTAAATGGGAGTTTCCGAAAATTAGGGGGCATCTTCTTTTGGGGTCCTGATAGTAACGATCCTACTATTTAGAGTACTATACTTGGGTCCCCTATTTTCGGAAACTCCCAAAGAATGACCTATACTAGTGTTCTAAGGTTAGAAGTATGGACCCCTAATATGAACCCTGAGACCCTTTGAAGGCGGATTCTAGGGACGCTCAAGGGTACATAACAGGTATATAGTGGGCATATATGTGCCAGCATCCGCGCACCCCCCCCCCCCTCCCCCCCCCATGGTAATCCCCCTCCCCCCCCCTGTGGTTCCTGTGGTTCCCCCCCCCCCCTGTGGTTCCTCTTGGTTTTCCCCCTCCCTTTTGTGGTTCTTCTGCTTCCTGTCTCCCCCTCCCCCCCTGTGGTTCCTGTGGTTCCTCCGCGTGGTTGCTGCTGCTTTGTTGTTGCTGCTGTTCTTCTTCTTGTTCTTGTTCTTGTTCTTGTTCTTGTTGTGTGGTCGCCGGGCTCGGGGGGGGGGGATACCATTGGGGGGGGGGGGGGGGGGGGGGGGGGGGGGGGGGGGGGGGGGGGGGGGGGGTCGAGAACGCGGAGCGCGGGCACATATAGTGATCCCAAGGTTAAGGGCCCATACTAGGGGCCCATGGCTTACGACTGTGGGGGTTCCTTATCAAACCCTATTCTAATTATTCAGGCCCTTACATTAAACACGCACTAAGAGCAAAAATCCACTCCGCATTCAACCATGCAGTCCGCAGAAGCTCCCTCAATCAAGCAACCGCCAGATCCGAATCCAAACTTAAAAGGCCGTGTAATGACGCTAAATCCAGCAAGTCATAAACGGTAAGCTGGCGTCTCTCTGTGAAATTGCCCTGAGAAGTTGCCCGAACCTGCATATGTGCAAAATGCACATGGAGTTTCCGACCACTCCTGAGATTGCCAATCAGGTGCGCAGAGATGCAAACGTCCTCTCATGATATGAATCCCGCAAAAGTGCCACTTCAGCTAGTTGCTGCCGGCAGACTTTGCTGCCCCTATGCCCATTCCGATCTTCTTCAACTTGCTTTTGAACCTCGAAGCGGCCAGCGAAACTCATTGCTGTTACCTCAAAAGCTTGTGCAGCTGCCCATCTAGGTAGGGCTTTATGCCAGCAACATTGCTTGCAGATGGATACGAAATGCAACCCAGCCGGCCTGAGTACGTCCGTGGGATCCCGGAAATCAAGGAAGACATATCCGCAAGAGCGCCTGGCACCCCGTATGCTGGAGACAGTTCGTGCTGCATGGGACTCTGGAGTTTGCCCGAGCATCCTTGGACCCAACCTGAAGGGTTTATGGGAAGCTGCCGTGCGGGGACAGAGGTGGCCCGTCTGTGCTGGATGTTACCGGAATCTCGGTCGGGCCTGCAGGTTGCTGCGTACAGTCTGCATGCATACATACATACATGCATACTTCCACAGAAGAGCATTTCATTCACACGCAGCGGGGGAGGACTGTCTGTGGTGAAACTTATCGTCCACGCTTTGCGAGGGATCGACCTAGTGCCCTGCTTTCTACTTGCGCGGTCACTCTTCACGGCAAGCCGTGCCTCAGCGCTGCACTTGCACACGCTCCGCCCCTCAGGGCTGCAAGCTGTGAAGTGGGAAGCGAATGTGTCTTCAGAGTCTTATGCGGCATCGGTGGCCTGTTGTGGAGAGGGGTCCCCTGAGGGAGGATCTCCACTCTTGGCCTTTGCTGCAGGGGGAGTATCTCCACCCTCGCTTTGCCCAGTGCTTCTCTTTTTGGAAGGAGGAGGAGGGGGAGTGACTCCACCCGAGGGGAGAAGCTCCACCTGATGTTCTCCTGGTGTTTAAAAACCCCTGGGGAGAAACTCCACCAGCTGTACACACATGGCAAGGGGAGAAACTCCTCCGATTGTTGGGGAGAGTCTCCTCCTAAGGGAGCATCTCCGCAAGGCTCGCTGGAAGAGCTCTTGCAGAGACATTACTCGGGAGATTAGCTACGTCCTGGGGCTCGTGAGAGACGGCGCTGCGAGCTAGGAATATGACGTAGCTATTTTCTTGAAGCAGGGGATCTTCGAGGGTACAGGGACTAGGGGGGTGGGAGTCATCACCAACATACCAGGCATCTGCTGTGCGTACAGCTGCACGGTAATGGCCACTAGTGGACTCCATTCCTAGGTGAATGATCACTGCCTCTACTGTGTAGGTACAAAACGAAACTCGGGATGTGTGGTCCAGGAAGACAGGGATCTGGACTTGCTGTGGGATTGTGATGCGAGTGTGATCCTTAGCTTCACCTGCGAATCTCGGCAAGGCTAAGCACACCTGCTGTGCAGCTTCTATGAGAGCACATGAGCGCTCCTGATACGACCATGCCACTAGCATGTCCTGTAGGTTGGTCTTGATCGCGGTGGCAAGATGAATGGGAGAGCCCCCTTCTTCGTCCACTATCACGCCTTCCGGTACTGAGGCTCTAGTTTCCCACTGTCCAAATCTTGATGCAGAGAGATTCCGAAACACTTTCTGCAGGAACTCAGCAGAGTCGTGCTGGCCTCCGTCAAAGAGCCAGCCCATGGTGAGCTCCGAGAAGACTCTGTGTTCAGGGGTTATTCTCGCAAGCTGACTGATCCGGGATGCCTCTTGAAAAGTCGCCTCTGAAGGATCTGATAGCCAGTGGAGACACTGCAGACCTGAGTTGGCATAGCAGTGGTTGCGAGTATTAGCTAGCAGGAGAAAGCCTTCCAGTCTAAACACGGGGTGAGGAATTCCTGGCGTTGCATCTGAAGGCTTCTGTGTGACTGTCTTCGCCGATGCCGTGGACTTTGCTCGAGTATATTCGCGGGGCTGCTTGTTGAGCTGCTGGCGCGCTACCTCCTGCAGTACGTGCACCTGCAGTAATTGAACGCACTGCTGAGCATGTCTACCCGGGGCATCCACACGAAGTTTGCAGTATCGACAGCTATCTCCTTTGTGGAAGAAGACCTTGAATTGATTGAGTCTTGGTTGGAGAGTTTTCTCCAGCTTGGCCATCACCTCAGGATGCTGCTTGTTTAAATGCTGTTTGGCTCCTTTCTGGCCTACGAGGACCTGACCTGACCACAGAGTGCGCAGTGTTCCATCAGGTAATCATGGAACGCCGGATTTCGAGCGGCGCCTTCTGGATTGTCCTGGGCATCAGACTGTAGACTTTCTACGAGTGAGATCCGGTTCTGCGCTTCTAAGGGTAGCTCTTCCTGCTGTCTAAGCAAAAGCTCTACCCTAGGGCAGGTAGATGCTTCGACATGTTTGCGCAGATAAAACACTGTTCGGAATGTTGCTCGACAGGCGATGCAAGTTGCTGACCCTGGCATTGAATGCAAAATAGGATCAAATTTGGGTCCTTTCAGGCCCTGCTGAGAATCTGGGTGAGCCTTCTGCAGGTGGCGACGGAGTGCTCCGGTGCCAGAGAGACATGCTCCACATTCACCGCAGGTCAGAAGCCTATCCTCCACAGGTTGCGAGGAGAAGTCCGTGGAGAGGCCTTCCAATGCCTGGCTAACTGCCTCAGCACGCAACTTATAGTGTGGGAGAAGCTGGGGATCGGAGTGTTGCTGTCTCTTTATAAACTGGGTCATTCTCTTTTGCAGCTGCTCCTTCACGTGAGTAATCCGTAATCTCCGGAGTAACTCCTGGTTTGATTCCTTCGTTTCCTGGGAGTAACTCCGCAGGACGAATCTGAGTTGGTACATCATGTGTGAATGGAGCTTTTGCAATCCCTGCTGTGTCATCCCCACCACGTGAAGTGCATACAGAGCAGAGGCCCACGCAGTTATTGTCCAAATCGACAGACGACGTCTGTCTGATAAGACTCTGTGGTTCCGAACTGCATGGGCTACTTCTGACATTGCAAGCTTACTGGATGACAGCCGATGTTTGAGAGTCTTCATTTCATAGTCGTGATAAGAAAGAATGACCCCCAAGTATGGAACCTGATAGCGCAGCGATATCAGCCTGCCCGAAGGGGGTTCAACATACTTCTCTCCCTCGACCTGGCGAAAGAGTTTCTTCCTAATGGTCGAGGCTGAGCCCCCTTGCAGCTGTAGCAGAATTGCTGACTTGGACGGATTGACCTTGAACCCAAGCTCTACCAGCTGATCCAGAAGCATGTCGCAGTACCCTAGTGCTGTCATGAGGCCGGCCGCAGAGTCGAAATGCGACTGGATCAAGCTATCGTCAGCGTACATTGTGAGGAGCTTCACTAGTTCTGCTGGGCTGATTTTCCCAGAGAGCTTCCTAAAGAGAAGCCCTGATGCAAGGGCGAATAAAGAGGGTGCTAGCTTACATCCCTGCTTGATCCCCCTGCGTGTGGCTATCTCAAAGCTCTGATCGCTGGCTGTCATCTTGTACAAGGCTTTGATGTGGAGATGGCCTACCACCTCTATCAGAAGAGGATCTGCTTGTTCGGCTTCCAGGGCCTCTCTTAGTCGCAGCCTGTTGACAGTGTCAAAGGCTTTGCTCATGTCCACGCTCATGGTGAGACTGCCTCTGAGCTTGAGCCCCTGTTGTCCCTTACCTGCAGCCCTAGTGGTGAGGGCCTGTATGAACCTGGCCTGGTCCACATGTGTGAGGGCCTTGCAGATAGCCTCCTCTGTGCCCCTGCCTGGGACAAAGCCGAACTGAGAGACGCCGGTCATTGCTAGCTGGAGGGTAGACTTGAGTCTCTTCCTCACGAGTCCGGCTAGGACCTTACCCTCAGGTGCTATCACCCCGATCGGACGGAGTGAGGTTGGTTTGTCTGGCTTCTTGGGAGGCTTTGGGAGCCAGGAGATCTGTGACGAGGTGACACTGTCCGAGAGCCTTCCTGCAGTGACTTCCCTATTAAGGGTGTCCGAGATTAGCCGGATTGCTTGGGGACCTAGGGAGCGCCAGGCTACTACGGGAGGACTCTCTTTAGGAACCGCCTTGCCCAGCTTTATTGTGCCAAGCTGTTCTTGCACTTCTTGCTCAGTGATGTGCAGGCTGCCTTGTATCCCTGAAAGCGGGAAGTCATCCCCTGCTCCAAACAGGTCTAGGGAATATTCCTCTAATTGTCTTCTTTCTTCCTTGGCAGTAAGGAAGCGACCCTCAGAATCACGAAGCTGAACTCTTTCCTGGGGCCTCCCCGACCTGAAGCGCTTGATTACCTTGTAAAGGGAATGACTCCCGTCCTGCTTGGACTTAAGCTCTGCCTGCTGGAGTTGTTCATCTATTTCCTGCCGCCGCCGCTCCTGCTTGTGACGCTTTGCTACCCTGGCCTGTGCACTTTGCTGGGAAAACGTGCACCAGCATCGGAACACCATACGGACCTGCAGCTCGGGCAAGAACTCTGCTAAGACCTTGACTGCTAGTGGGAGTGAGCGCAACGCAGAGCGCTCTTCCCAGATGCTGAGATCTGATCTTTGTGCTGCTTCCTTTCTCTTGGGAAAGTGAGTCGCGAGGGCTGAGTTCATTGCTTGATGGAGACTCTGCCAGGTTTGGGGATGATCCTGAAGGAGGGAGTCTACCTCCCTGGCAAATGCCTGTATTTTCGGGGAGCGGTGTCTGTAGCAGTCCTCCATTGCCTGCTGGTCATAGGGTTTTGAGGCTTGGGCGGAGTATCTCCTGCTGTGCCTCAGTTTACCAAGAAGAGGGAAATGCCTACTACCATCCCTCCAGGATGCAACTGAGAAGGTCCTTAGTGGCCGGCAAAACCTGGCGGGGCCTTGGGACTGTGCAATCCTGACAAACGAGAAGTCAATCTGTGAAACAGAATTGCCTTGTTCGTGGGTGGCTGGTCTATGCACTCCCCAAGTGTTGGTTGCGACTAGCTGGTGCTCCGACAGTAGGGTCTGGAGATCCTTAGATCCGCGATGCCCGAGTCTGCAAGCCTGGATCGTGCATGGCCCTACGTGTTTGTTGTCGGTTTTGAGCGAGGAGTTAAAATCTCCTAGCACAAGGAGAGTGTTGCGATTGGGAACAGCTCGGATGGACTTACTTAGGGCGTGAAGGGTCTGCTTCCGGGTTTCCTTATTCTGAGCAACTGTCTCCTTAGAGCGCCAAACGTATTGATAGCAGCTGAAGACATCCAGTGAGATGCCGTTGCTCGGCACCCGGACCTGGAGAACTCTTCCTGGAACAGCCTCGTTGTAGCGAAGATCCTGTGACTTGCACAGCGTGGAGTGCACCATTATGAGGACCCCGGCTCCCTTCTCCCCTGTGGAACCAGAGCTGATCACGTGCCAGCCTGACTTGCTGAATTGCCAAGAGCCCCTCCAGTGCGTTTCCTGGATTGCTACCAGCTTCACATCCTGAAATGCGGCACTTTGCAGTACGGAGAGTAACTCTTCCCAAACTGCTGTTGTGAGAGATCCTGCGTTCCAGGATAGATAGCTGAGATTCTTATCTTCTGTAAATTTCGAAGGCCGAGTCCTTTTGCCGGGATTGGTGGGCTTTACATGTGCCGGAGCAACTCCAAGCTCTGTTGACGACATCGTCCTTCCCTTGTAGACCGCACTACCTTCAAGCAGAGCTTTACGTGCTGCCCTTTGATAAGAGCGTTTACCCTTCCCTTTAGGAACGGGCTGATGCTTGGTCGAACCACTAGGCTGTTTCGCAGCACTCATGTTGAGTACGGCTCCTGTCGGCTTCGCAATACCGACAACCCTCACCTCTGGGAGATGTTAGAGAGCTGTAAATCTAATACTCCCTCCCGGACTTGGGACCGGGACTGCTCAGGCGCTGACAAATGCCATGGCAAGAAAGGAAAAAGGCAACTGTACTAGCCTGACCTTTCCTGAGCCGAGAGGCTTCACAGAAGAGCAGCAGCAGCAGCAACAACAACATCAACAACCACGACGACAACGACGACGACGGCGACAGCAACGACAGCAGTAGCAGAAATAGAAGCAGAAACAGCGTCAGCAACCGCCAGCACCACCACTGCTGCACCAACATTCAACAACACATTATCACCCGCCCATGCTCAGTGAGGCCCAGATCACTTTCCTGCAGGTGCTGGCCTTTTGGCCTTGTCCACTGGCATGTAGAAAAAGTTGATGTGGTCCAAGATATTGTGGAGTTGAAGCTGCTCAAGGAAGGTGATGGCACTGCAATCCTGGCATAATCTGGGATGGAGTGCGTGGGCACATGGTGCACACAGTAGCAGAACGCAATGCTTAGCTGTTTGGCCCTACACCTTAAACTTCACACGCCTCCAATCCTGCAATGGCTTCCCCGCCTTGGGAACTTGACCCACAATGATGGAGCTCCTGGTTTCCTCCAAGGTGAGGTTTAGCTGCTTGGCGCTGAGGATTAGTGGCGTTATCCTGCGCTTCGCTCAGCGCTGCTACTAGCTCTGCTGCTTCTTTGCGTTCGGCAAGGTTGCATCAGCTTGCAGCTACAGCCTCAACAGATTAATATGCTCATGTGCAAGACTGAGACTTCATAAGTAGAGCTGAAACAGTTGTGAATGCTGGCACACATTCAAAACTGAAATGACATTCCGGCCTGACCGCTAGTAAGACACACGTCGTCGACATTAAACGCATCTGGTGCAGACTGTCTTCTGTCAGCCTCAGTGCAGGCGACGGTTTTCAGAAACTCCGCGAGAGACCCTGAATCCTAAAGGATATGCGCATTGAGAGCATCTGTTGGTCACGACTACACTGGCGATGATTCAGACTCTGAAAGACTGTGAAAAAGCGGATCGCTCGAATTCGCGACATCTCCAAAGGAGGCCTTTCAATCCATCCTTGCGTCACAGACTCATGCCCGAAACACTGGTATTTGCAGCGTTTTCGCCTCTTTGTACAACCAAACATAAACCCAATCCTTAACCCTATAAGTTTAACCTAAGACCTAAGACAAGTCAATACTTTAAACAAACTCTCTCTAAAATAAACGTTTGTTCTGCAGCCTCTTCAAACATGAGCTTAAAACCCGAGCGAAAACGCAGTTAGGCCCAAAGTTTACTTCAGCCTCTAGTGTTTCGCGCACCTGCCTGAACCATAATTTTCTGTGAGATTGCGCTCTCGCTGTGGTTTCGCGCGCATCCATGCGAAACGGCTCATTCTGAAATCGCTAAAAACGCATAGGCGCGTACAGGCGCCGTCACCTCGAACATGACTGCAGGAAGTCACGAGGGAACGGTACTCTTAAGGTTAGCCGGGTCGATTGGTAATTGCACTCCGAGCACATAAACCCTTACCGGGCACAGCCCTAAACCCGAAACTGCCCCCTGAACCCCTACAAGTTGTGTCAATTGCAGTCAAATCGCTCCAGCGGGAGCTGCTCGTATAGGAACTGAAACGGCAGAGCCAGAAAGAAAGGCTGAGTCGGCGTCAGCACTGTCATCACTCTTCAAGCCATGGAGACCTCGATGGCCTGTCAGGATGGACTGAGAAGATGCAAACCCGGTTTCATGAAAGGTTTCTCAGGTTCAGCTACAACTACCTTGCCACCGCTCCTTGACGACGACTGGTACCACTAGTTCTGCAATTGCTGCCTCTGCTGCTGCTGTTGCAACTCCGCCACCACCACCACCACCACCACAACCACCACTGGCGCTGCTACGATTCCTCCTACTTCCGCTGCTGATACTACTTCCGCTACTTCTACTACTGTTACTGCTGATCCTGCCAGCAGCTGTGAAGCCCAATTCCCCCAATTGATCCTAAAGTCTAAATCCGAAACTCTGACCCCTAAATCTCCTTTTGCAACCCTATAAAACTGCTTGACACAACCCAAATTCTAGATGTCTGGAGAGTGTAGCGCTTGGTGATATGCATTTCTGCTGTGAAAAGTCGAAACCTTCAACGGCCCCAAACCCTTTGTAGAACCTTTGTACAAGGAACCCCCCCAAACCGCTCCAAACCCTGAACCCTTAAACCCCCAAACCCAAAACCCCTTAAACCCTTAACCCTAACCCAAAACCCTTTAAACCCCTAAACCCTAAACCCTGAGGCCGTAGACTGTTAGCCAAGAAGCTGTCGATGTGAGTGCAGAGTGCTCGGGCAGCGTCCTCTTCAAAGAACTGAACTTCCACCTGTAAAACTTGCAGTTTGAATGGTTGTCTAGAGTGTTTGCGGCCTTGGTGGTTCCAAGAATCTCGGAGTGTTGTGTTCACGCTTCTTGGTGCTCTGATGCCTAGATGGTCTTTGCGCGCGCGGGACTTTCCGGCTCTCATTTCTCTCAAGGCTTCGGATATCTGGTGACTGTTTATGATCGCGTTTGCAGCCTTCAAGGTTCTTTCCGTTTTGGGGGGTCGTTGGTTGCTGTTTCATAGCGGGATGGAGCGCTAAGGGTGTGGAGTGTTTACTTTTGGGGCCCATTGTGCTATAGCTATAATAAGGAACCCCAAAATCGCATAGGCAATTTTGTTGCAGGGTTTCTGGGGGGTTTAAAAGGCTTTGGTGTGCTGACCGTTGTTGAAGCGTTTTGATGGTTTATCAGGTGTTCAAAGTGCTGAGGCTGTTTGGAGTTCTGAGTGGGTTTGGAGCGTTTAGGGCCTTAGGGTGTTCAGAGTGATTTTTGGATGGTTTGCAAGAACTTTGAGTGTCTTTAGGGTGCTCAGCTTTAGGGTTTAGGGTGTTCAAGGCCTAATTACAGGTGCTAGGCTGTTTGGGCATTTGCGTGTTCAAGCGCATTCCAAACGTATAGGTTTTCAGCGGTCTGTTGAGCGTCAGGTATTTAGGGTCTCCAGCATTCTTACAGCTCATTAGGTGTTTAGGGCTTCTGTGGATTAAGGTTGCCCTGGTGTCAGGGTGATGCTTCCGGGCTGAACAGATCTTCTGCACATCTCAAGGTGCTTCGGGTGTTTGGAGCGCCTGGGCTTTCATGGCTCCTAAAGCTTTTAGTTAGGGTCCTCAAGCCCTTTTGGGTAGGGCTTTTAGGTGTTTCAAAGCATTTAGGATGGGCGGTTCTAAATTCTAGGAGTTATTGCGAGTCTAGACTGTTTAGGTTGTTTACGGTTCTCGTGGTTCCTCGTCCAGACACACAAGCAAGTCCTCGCGTTTCGGCTTGGAGAATGCTTTAGAGATCTACTGCGGCTGTTCCAGCCGGACTCTTGGCTTACACAAAAAAGTAATCTCAGTGCTACGGGATCTTCACGGACAGTGGACTTCTGTCTAAGACATCCAAGTCACAGTGCCGTCAACTTTGCATCTTTGCACGTTCAGCGATCGGATCTCGCCAAACGTGGAGAACACCCTCGCATATGATACCTTGTTCTGAACTACCAACCTAAACCCTAAACCCTAATTAATTAACAAGGCACGGATGGCCCGAAAGGTCGCTAGGACTATGTCTATAGCATCTCCGACTCCTGGACCGTCAGTGCATTCAAGTGTATTCCACAGCCAACCAAATCTATCATGTCCCGGCCGTCCAAGCTGCGAGGGAAATGCTTGCGGCAACTTCCGCGTTCAGTTGAATGTAGACAACGTACCCGAGATTGTAGGAGCTGACCGCCATTGCCATGCCATTAATCACTACAAGGGAACAAAGGATGTAACGGGGCAAGAACTGTCCTTGCCTTTCGAGCATATCCACATGAAATCAGAATGGCAAGCTTCGAAAGCTGAAACATGTCTGAACATCACAACGCGCCGCTGCCGGAACACGAGTCGCGGGCGCGCATCCAGGTGACAAAGGGATCGCATGATGCAGCGGTCAATGAAAATGCTGCCATCCAGGACGTCCGCAGCCTGGAAAACATCTTCTCACTGCGAAGACACGGTGTGCAGCTCCGCGTCTTCTGACGCACCTAAACTTTCCTGAACCAGACGAATGCCTTCTACAGCGCATCCCAGAGCCCCGGCCTGCTGAAAGAGCCGTGCCTGCCAGCCCCGAGCAACGAAGTCAACAGCGCTGCCGGAAGGGTCAAAGCCTTCGCAGGAAGCAAAGATTCGAGGACTTGGGGGCCTTTCGGCTTGAGGGCTAAGGCTAAGGGCTGATGCCTCAAATAGAGATCAAGTTCATCCCAAAACAAGTCCAGAAAAATCCAGAAATCCCGGCCTGACACTTGCACTTCGTTGTACCGCTCAACGAGGGCCCGATAGCCTGCTCGACTCGCATCTTCCCGTGACATAGCGATACTCGCCAGAATCCTCACACTGACGCTATTGAGCAACTCTAGCAGCTCACATGCAACTTTGCATGCTCGGGTACTTTGGAAAGTCTCTGCCGATGCCTGGGACGCTCGGGTCTCTCTCCCAGTACACGGAGGTTGCATTGGATGTCGGGCGCAGCTGGGGGTTGAACACTGCCTGCAGAATCAGACGGCGACGAAATACAGCCGCTGACGAGGCAGCGACAAGCAGCTCGGTCGGCCTTGCAGGGGAAGGGTTCCGGCCGTCCCTGCTCCACCTGTTCCATACTGTCAGTGCGCAAGCCGCAATCAGGCTGTAATCTGCGTCGAGCAGGCAGGGTGGTTGGCCTGCTCGGTCTCTGAAAGTGCTTTGACGCCGGCTGGCGGATCCTGACACACAGAGTCATCGATTTTAATGATCGATATGGAGCTAGGATCAGGGGTAGCGTCCTCCAACACGATCAGACGCGATGGCGTCCCCAAATGCGGTGCTGTCAGAAATCCTCCCTTGAAGGTCCTGCCTCGAGAAAGCTCACCCGGAACTGTCATTCCAAGCACTTTTCCACACTCAGCTGCGCACCAGGTAAGTTGGGTCCACGCATCACTGAAACCTCGCACTGGTGCGAAAGCCGTTTAGGGCCGAGGGTTCAGAAACTTTGCTTTGGAAGGCTGAGGCTCTCGCCAGCTCCTCTGCCACATTCTGGGATTTTTCTCGCGAGATGCGCTCTTCCTTCACCTCGTCTCGATTAAGCAGACAGAGAGACAGAGAGAGAGAGAGAGAGAGAGAAAGAAAGAGAGAGTCGAACCTGAGCGGCACAAATTCGCTCCACACTGTGGACGGGTTCCACTTCTGTGGCCCAGCAGAGCGGGAACCGAGAGCCAAGCAAACTTGGCTCGCTTGCGGATGACTGCCTGATCAGCACACAGCGAACGAAGATATGCAAGCCATGGGCGTTGCTTGTCGACTTTGGGCTGGGTGAAATTGCTTTCCTGCCTTGCCCAAAGGTAGCACTTTTCGATAGGCCGTCGCACTTCCTGGCCTGTCAGTATCAGGCCCTCCACATGTGTCGCTCCACTGGGCATGACTGGGGCTATCGCAGGGACCGAATAGCATTGGAATAAATCTTGTCCTTGGGCTCCCAAGACCTTGGAATCGATAGCACCATGCTGAGAACAGAGGATGCTTGAGCACCGGGTGGCGGGAAACCCTCCAAGATTTGGACTCACATTCACACACGATGCACACCCGGCCAGCACAAGCATGAGTCATGAGCACATCCCACTACTGGGAGCTCATGCCACTTGGGACACTTGGAGGCAGTGTTTGCCACTGCCTCCGACATAACTGCCTCCGACATACAGCAACATTCAGCCACAGACCACCCACATCAGTTCAGATATCCCACTCCCGCCTGAGCCTGACTTATCATGGCTTGTTGATCATCGACGACACCATCATCGTCCACTGGGACATGTGTCACAAGCAAGTTCGGCATGAAGCGTGCTTGGGTATATCTACTCTCTAAAGTCTCTAAAGCAGATATCCCTTGCTCAGTTCCCCCACAGCCCGGCTTTCCGAATCCTTGTCTGCACGTTGCTTCGAGCTTTCTGGAGCCGGGCGACCAGCCCCCTTTCCCCCTTCCCCAGCCAGGTCGTGCCAAACCCGCACCGTTTGGCGGCGGATGCGCTACATCCACGAGAATTTCTGGCAGCCGTAACTGGGCAGGAAAGCACTTTTCATGCCACGTGGCAGTCCTACTTACTCTCGGGTTCTGGAGATTTGGCACAAGGAGTACGAGGCCAAAGTGCGTCTGGACTTGCACTCGCAATTAAATACTCATATGGTTTAGGGTTTAGGATTACTCCCATAAACCCTTGCCTGCCAGTTGCCACATGCAAGGAAGCCAGACTAAAAAGCAACACAGGCCACTGTCGCAATGGGAGCTGTGGAGCCCGCCCATCAGTTTTCTCGGCTGCCTTCAGCAGCAGCAGGCGCTCGCACCAGACACACTCGTCGAACAAACATAGACAATCTGCATAAGATGACAGTCAGTCAGAAACTTCGGAGGTTGAGAGGGGGGTGCAAATGTTCATGACGTGCTTCCTGCATGGACGAGGTGCAATCCGTGCCCGGTGCAGTTGCTAGCAAGTGGGATACGATATGTTTCCTACACAGTCCGACAAGCTCCTGCTGCTGCGACAACTCGCACTGTCGTCAAACTCAGGTTCCTTCACACTGAGAGTCAAGACATCTAAACTTTGCACCTAAACCCTTAGTAAACCCTCCACCCTGAGCCCGGGCCGGAGAGCCTGAGCTCTGCAGGGCAGCCGCTGAAGCCGTAGCCGGCCCAAGGGCGAGGGCCCTGTGAAGGAAGAGATCTAGATGGACCCTGAACCCATCGTATCATTCGCCAGAACACAGCAGCGAGAACGGCCGGCTGATGAAATGCTGCTTTCTTGGCATGTGCAACATGCTGTACACATGATCTCCTTCGCTGGCTGCTATCGGAAACGGGACATTGAGCAGGACAAATCGCAGCAGCAGTGGTGACAATAGAAAAGCTACATCAGTGTCTGAATCGCCATCATCGTCATCACAACCGCCACTGTTATGCCGGAACCGGCATGAGAACGGATCCCCACACACACAACCACAACTTCCCTGCCTAGCAAGGCCCACGGCGTCAGGGGGGCCAGGGCAACAGGCGCCAAGAGGAGGAGCGGAAGGAGAGGTCGAAACCTCGCAAGATCATCAATAAAATCTCAGCAGTCGTGATGATATGGATAGCATGACTCAGCTTGCGCTGTCCAACAAGCAAACAGACAAGCGCTAGCACTTGAATGTTGGCGAACCGTGGCAACCGCGCCCGTTCGATTCAGGACTGGGCCTTCGGACCATTGCCACAGCCCATCTCACGATACTTCCGCTCGTTTCTGCATGTCTCAGCTGGTTACCAGCTTACGGTGACGGCTTGGGAGGTCAAAGTAAGGAGTGGCAGAGGTACGTATCCCAAACTTGCATACTTGTTGCGGGTGCTAGCGGCTGCTGGCAGGTACAACCTGTTGCCGCCAAATATGCACTCTTCTCCCCAACATGAATGTGAGCCTGAATGTAGTCCACCATCGCTGGACAAGCAGACCGTGCTCTTTTATCCAATGCTTTGTGCTGCGTCAGCAGCATGGACAAGCTTACAGTCTACGCGAGCTACACGAAACTCACGGCTGCATCGCTGCGGACATCTGAGTCGAAATCATTTCGATTTCTGCCTAGCACAACCCACCACAGTAATTAGTCACTCTAGCCATGGGCATGCAGCAAGAACAGATTTCCGGAACAGTGGTGCTGGAAGGTATGTCCGCAGCGAGGCACTGTGTGAACAATCAAGCAAATCGCCGGTGGGAAGTGCAGGGACAGGTAGTGATCGGCATACTACTGACCTACCTGCCCACGCGGCCACACAGCTCGAACAGCTTAGCAAATTCCGTATTGCCAAGACTGCTCTGCCCGGAGAAAAGACATAGCAGCGTAGCACATCATATCACTCAGCATTAGCCTTCAGGTCTAAGTCGACACAGGTCCTGGCCAGTTCTGCACAAAAGCCCGCCGAAACAGAATGCACACTTCAGTATACCTGACCACAACTACAGGAGCACTGGGAGCCTTCGTCTGCAGCTCAAGCTGCATACTTTGTCTTCACACCTAAGTCTTGACACAACAGCACTCGCAAAAATGGCAATGATGAGGCAATCCCCACGACCAGCTTCCGACTCGGATCTTCTTAACTTGACCCTGGCAAAGAGCTCCGATTCACTTGCCCAGCTCCGTTTACTTGGGGCAGGGCTTTTTTTACACCCCGACTTGGCTCCCTTTGGACCCTGTTCAGGATCTGGGTTTTTTTTGCACCCTGTCCGGACTGCCCTGGGCTGGGTCTGGGGCTTTTTTCGCGCCCTTTCGTGCTCATGTTTAGGGGGGGGCGTGGTCTTCTCTAGCAAACACCCTACTTTCCTTACATTTTGGACGGATTTTCTGTTATTTCCCTTAGATTTTCCTTGGTTTTTCATAGGGAAAACCCTATTTTCTTTACATTTTAGATTTTAGACGGATTTCCTCTCATTTCCCTTAGCTTGGGCTTTGAAGCACGCTTGGTACGGCTTAAAGACCCTGCTCACATGATGGGCGTCAGCAACTTTCTTGGGCTTTGAAGCACGCTCTGCAGGGCCTAAAAAAAAAGCGCGGGGGTTGGGGAGGGCGCAGCCCCCCCCATTTGCAAACACAATGCTCACACGATGTTTTTCAACTTGTTTCTTGGGCTTTTAAGCACGCTTGGTACGGCTTAAAAGAAGCGGGGGGGGGTTGGGGGGGCGCAGCCCCCCCCCCCCACTTTGCAAACACCCTGCTCACATGATGGGCGTCAACAAGTTTCTCGGGTTTTGAAGCACGCTCTGCGCGGCTTAAAAAAAAAAAGGCGGGGGGGTTGGGGGGGGCGCCCCCCCCCATTTGCAAACACGATGCTCGCACTCACACGATGTGTTTTCAACTAGTTTCTGGAGCTTTGAAGCACGCTTGGTACGGCCTAAAAGAAGCGGGGGGGTTGGGGGGGCGCAGCCCCCCCCCATTTGCAAACACCCTGCTCACATGATGGGTGTCAACAAGTTTCTTGGGCTTTGAAGCACGCTCTGCACGGCTTTAAACAAAAGCGGGGGGGTTGGGGGAGGGCGCAGCCCCCCCATTTGCAAACACAATGCTCACACGATGTTTTTCAACTTGTTTCTTGGGCTTGAAGCACGCTTGGTACGGCTTAAAAGACCCTGCTCACATGATGGGCGTCAGCAACTTTCTTGGGCTTTGAAGCACGCTCTGCAGGGCCTAAAAAAAAAGCGCGGGGGTTGGGGAGGGCGCAGCCCCCCCCATTTGCAAACACAATGCTCACACGATGTTTTTCAACTTGTTTCTTGGGCTTTTAAGCACGCTTGGTACGGCTTAAAAGAAGCGGGGGGGGGTTGGGGGGGCGCAGCCCCCCCCCCCCACTTTGCAAACACCCTGCTCACATGATGGGCGTCAACAAGTTTCTCGGGTTTTGAAGCACGCTCTGCGCGGCTTAAAAAAAAAAAGGCGGGGGGGTTGGGGGGGGCGCCCCCCCCCATTTGCAAACACGATGCTCGCACTCACACGATGTGTTTTCAACTAGTTTCTGGAGCTTTGAAGCACGCTTGGTACGGCCTAAAAGAAGCGGGGGGGTTGGGGGGGGGGGGGCGCAGCCCCCCCCCATTTGCAAACACCCTGCTCACATGATGGGTGTCAACAAGTTTCTTGGGCTTTGAAGCACGCTCTGCACGGCTTTAAACAAAAGCGGGGGGGTTGGGGGGGGGGGCCCCCCCATTTGCAAACACAATGCTCACACGATGTTTTTCAACTAGTTTCTTGGGCTTTTAAGCACGCTTGGTACGGCTTAAAAGAAGTGGGGGGGGGGTTGGGGGGGCGCAGCCCCCCCCCACTTTGCAAACACCTTGCTCACATGATGGGCGTCAACAAGTTTCTCGGGTTTTGAAGCACGCTCTGCGCGGCTTTAAAAAAAAAGCGGGGGGGTTGGGGGGCCCCCCATTTGCAAACACGATGCTCGCACTCACACGATGTGTTTTCAACTAGTTTCTTGAGCTCTGCACAGCCAAAAAAAAGCAGGGGGGTTGGGGGGGGGGGGGGGGGGGGGGGGGGGGCGCAGCCCCCCCCCATATATATAGTATTATATTATATTATATTAGTGTATTGTATTATTTATATATTATATATATTTATATACTTATATTATATTATATTCTATTATATTGTTATATATTCTATTCTATTCTTTTCTATTCTATTCTATTCTATTATATTATATTGTATTGTATTATATTGTATTATGTTATATTATACTATATTATATTATATTTTATTGTATTGTATTATATAATATTATATTATATTATATTATAATATATTATATTATATTGTATTATATTATATTATATTATATTAAATATTTAATTCTGATATAAAATATTTTATTATATTATATTATATTATATTATATTATATTATATTATATTGTATTATACTATATTATATTGTATTATATTATATTATATTATATTAAATATTTAATTATATTATATTTTATTTTATTATATTATATTATATTAAAGTATATTATATTAAATTATATTATACTATATTAACTACCCAAAGAGGTATGTATAGAGTCGCACATACAACAACTTTAGTTGCATCTACTTCTAACCCAAGTAAAAACACTTCTAGCCAAGCACCTTGGACTCATGCCCTCGTAGTCAAGCCATATGTAGCCTACTTTCCCCATATTGAACAATATTATATATATATATATATATATATTTTCTAATAAACCATTTTTGTATATATTATATACGTATATTGTCTATATATTATCACGTATTATATGATACTATGTTATACTACAGAACTTATTCTACTATTGTTACACAAAGACACAAATACAACCAAAATCTGACTGCGGGACCGGGAAACACGGGACCGGGGGACCATACCACATGCCTCACTATACTCCCAAACGCCTCAAACCCCGAAACCCGGGTAGGCCCCTCTGCGTTTTTCATTCCTTCTTTCATTCATTCTGTCATTCATTCATTATTTCTTTCTTTCCTTTCCTTCTCTCTTTCTCTTTCTTTCTCTCTTTCTTTCTTTCTTTCACTCACTCACTTAGAGGGGGCCAAGTGTATGAAGTCGCAAGCGGCCCTGGAGAGGCCCTGAGATTCGAACAGGACGTAAAGAGAGCCTTCACGGGGCGTGAAAAAAGCTCTCCTAGGCCTCATAGGGTGTTTACCGCCCCCCGTGGGGCTTCATTCTGGCCCTGCGCCCCCGAAGCGCGTTTGAAGCTATTAAGGGGGCCATTTGCATCCCATTGGCGAAGGGTGGGGGGCTTTTTTTGAGACCTGTCCGGCCGGGGGTCTCGTGCAGTGATCCAAAAAAAGCCCGCAGTTGGGTCGAGAAGGCTTTTTTCGGGACATGGGGCGTCAAACAGTGGCCCGTTAAAAGCCCACCGTCGGGTCGAGAAGGGTTTTTTTCGGGACGTGTAGGTGGCACGGGAGGCTGGGTCCGGGCTGCACAGGGCGGGATTAAAGCCCTATCAAGGCAGGGCGAGGCTTTTTCTCGTCCTGGGTGCATGGCAGGGGATAGAAAAAGCCGTGGGTTGGCGAGGAGGGCTTTTTTCGGACCCTGTCCACGAGGGGGGCGACCAGGAGGCCGACCCAGGGCGCAGAAACAGCCTTCGGGAAGGGGTCTAAAAAAAACCATACGGGTGGCAAAAAACACCCAGCCCGTTTACTTGCTGCACTCGCTCCTGCAGCATTCTACACCTGTTGAAATGCTCCTCGCCCGCTCCGATAGCTCGCAAGCCACGAACGAGATGACCAAGATCACCCCCAACAAGGAAACTAAGACAGGGTGCGAACACGACGATTGATGTTTTCTCCTCCAAGTTCTTGCTCGTCTCTGCCCTGTTGTGGGAGTTTGGTGCCGTTTGCCACCCGTTGCCGCCACAACAGCGATGACAAAATGGCTGACGACCCGCGAGCTGATGTCCGACGAGTGTATATCGCTGGAAAAGGCACGCATTAATTGAAACAACAATGTTGGGGTTCTGTCACGATGCCCAAAACATTTCGAGCACAGGAAATGCTTCGCATCTGCGGATGTCTTGGCGTGGCTTTCTGATATCCGCCAGACAATGTGGAGTGTCTGGAGGTACCTGTGTTCTCGCAGGTGGTGTTGGTGTGAGACAACCCGATGCCTGCCGAGGTCAGGCTCAACAGTAAGGGTTGCCAACGAAAGCGTCGAGTGGAGTTGTGAATAGCACAAGGTCTTCACTGTCGTCACGGCAAAAGATGTCCATGGCATTCCGTGGTAGAATCTGACCTGCATGAGATGCAACAGCCGAAACACGGCTGTGGCCACACTTTGAAGTTTCGCACAGCGTGGATTCTGGTGTTGACCAGGGCAGTTGTCCGTGCTAGGGATGGCTTGGATTTGAGGTGAGACAACACGCTGGCGGCTTGCAACAGTCGCAGCAACTGGGTGCTCGGCAGGCGCGCTGGAGTGTGCCCATTCCCTGACAAGCCCGAGTAGGTATGTGGAGAACAGCTACCACAATGAAAACCACAAAATGTGCTGCCAAGCAAGCCTTCTCCAGGGACCTTGATGATCCCAGATGGCATGCAGGGGCATTCCATAGTCAAGGAGACAGTCAAAGTGAACATACGTCGAGAATGTGCCGAGAAGCTGAATCATCGTGGCGACAGCCTCGTTTCGCAATCCCTCCGTCCGATTCTCACGGCGTGAGGTACTCTCTTCTTCAACAGCCCGGGCCCCAAAAGTTCAAACTGTGTGACAAGGACTAAAGGCACAAACCCAAACAGTTCCACGTTTTCCCTTTGAGGAACTAGGAGTACTGAGGCTGGCAGTCCCAAGTTTTCAAAAGCGTATCTGAAGCCATTCTTGATAGATGAAACGACTTCATGCCAATCTCAATCTCTGCGAAGTGCCCACCGTAATTCAACAATGCATTCAAGAAGCGCTTCGCCGGCTGTCGGCCACCACAGGCATCTCACCATCACGGTTCTGAAGGGCCAATGCATGAGAATACCAGTTACGGAATTGCTACGTCATGAAGGAAGTGGAGTCGGCGGATCCGCAGGCGACACAAAAACTCAGACTTCGCAGCATTGATCTCTGTATCTGACAATGAACCGTACCTACATCGACAAAAGGCTGCCATCAGAGCGAAAGAACCTGGAGTTCTCGCAAATCAAAGGTCCCGGACTCGGCAGATACTGTTGCAACATCCCAAAAACACTGCAAGCATGGCCTTCAACTTGGGCTCCTCCCGCTGTGCATTCATATCCTCAGAAGCGATAGCTGGGAACGTCCGGTCAGGCTGCGACGCCGAAGCCCCCGGAGTGGCTGATGTCTGAGGGGCGGTCGTTCACCAACATTCCCTCGGCTGCCGCATCAACTGCAATGTGGAGATGGTGATGGTTACAGCTGGAGCGAAGGACATCAAGCAGGTTGTCATGAAAGCAGGAGCCGCGATTGTTCTGTCGATTTGTTGGACCGCAATACTGCCGATGCTCTCATTGATACACAACAGTGCTCAAGGATCAATCACCGTCGGCTCGATCATGCTCTTCTCAGTTGCCAGGCGGTGCAACTCCTCTCCATCTCGCCTCAGGCCATTTGCCATCGCCGCCTACATGATTTCCACACGAAGTAATTATTGCTGCCAAGGTTCCGAATGCTCGCCACGACAAAACCCGTTGTCTGGTCCAGGATCCCGAACATCTGTGCCCTCAGCAGCTGGACACCACAGGGACATGCCGCATGCCCGTGTTTGGAATTCTCAAACTGCCTTTGGTTGAAGACCAGTCGCTTCAGACGAGCGTAGCACGGCAGCGCGTCCAGAAGCAGCCCCTTGTCATCCTCCAGGACACGATTGATCCTGGGGGAGAACAGCCATCCGCTTCTCTCCAGGCAACTGATTAAAAAAAAAGCGAGCAGACGTGGATTTCAAGATGAAGCGACAACTTCCAAAAGTTTGAGAACGCTGTCGACTACCGCCAACGCTTGAGAAGGCGTTGTTCCGCTTTACCCTTGAACCCTAAAGCCCTAAACCCTACCCAGTCGGGCAACTTGTTCAACTCGGCGAAGAAAGTCTCATAGGCCGCCTCGGGGTGACGTACATGCGTGCATTTTGGACGGAAGTCCCCGGAGCCTCATACCATCCCACATTAAAACCCTTTACAAGGTTTTGGGGTTTAGCTAGAAATATATGTTTAGGGTGTAGGGCTTAGGGGTCACAGCAGCTTGTCACTCCACATCACCAATGCAGCAAGAGACGATCACCGTTTCATAGAGGGTGTTGTTGAATGTCGGGCGCCAGAACCTGACATACATATGCAGAAGGTAGACAGCATGCTCAATCTAGATTCGCGTGTGGATTGGTCAGGCGCACAGATGCATACAGTTTCGCCTATGCCTTTGCGCGTGCAGGCATGAAGATGCGTGAATGTGCAAAACTCGTCTCAAAACTCTGAATCATACATAGATGGACAGATAGATAGATCTGTCCATTGATAGATGGATGCATGGATAGATCCAGGTCTAGAGATAGAAATAGATTACAGATACAAACGCAGATACAGACATAGATTTAGATATAGCTAAAATTATGGATATGGATATAGGTACACACATAGATACGGATATAGATATAGGTATAGATACAGATATAGCAAGAAACACAGATACAGATATAGATGCAGATGCGGATATAGATACAGATACAGATATAGGTACAGACACAGATGAAGACATAGATGTAGATACAGACACAGATATAGATATAGGTATATCTAGGCATAGATATGGATATAGATATAGATCTAGACCTAGATATAGATTCAGATCTAGATCTTGTGTGTATATATATATACATACCATATACATACATATATATATATATATATATATATAGAAAGCGTCACCCTGGAGGCCCGGTTTTGTAATATATATATATATATGTATGTATGTGAATACCTAAGTAAGTATGGTAAACATATGTCCGGGTGTCTACCACGTTCAGCCTGCCTCGGCTCCATCACCGCGAAGCCGGCGGCAGACTTGGCCTCTGCTAGGTCGGCCTGAGGCCCCACCTTCGCTGGACGTCGGGACGATCGGCTTTGGGTGTAAGGTTTGGGGTTTGGGGTTTTGGCTGTCTTCCTGCGTAATATGCGTAAAGCGAGCTTGCATGTATGCTACAACCCGGTGAAACCGGAAGTTCTCTTAAACCCGCCCGCTGTGATGATAGCACCGGCAACCACCCAAACCATTTCCTGTTAGGGCAGTTAGGCGAGCAGGGGCCCAAGGCGGCCCGCGTTTCTGGCTGGGTCTCCCCCTCTAGGACCGGCCCGGGTCCTTGGAATCGTAAGGGCCCAGATTGGGCTGTAGTCGACCACTCTCCATAGGCTCCACCCATTTTGGCCCAGTGCAGGTGTCAAGGCTGCCGGGCAGCTTAAGTGTCTGGGCACCCAATTATGGGTGGGAGCGGCCCCAGGAGGCCGGCTGGTTTTGGGTTTAGAGTTTCAGGTTGTGGCTTTGGGGGTTTAGGGTTTAGGGTAGGGTTTAGGGTTGAGGCTTGGGGAATAGACGTGGTGGCAATCCCAGCAGTAATACTCATAATGAACAGAAAAATTCTTATAGTGATGATGACAACTGCAAAACATGTGACAGTATTGCTAATCAAAATCACAGAAACTAACCCTATTGACTACAACAGCAGTTAGTGTGACAGCAACACCACTATGGGTAGTGGCATTAAGACAATACCAGTGACATCACATATCAAGGGGAATGAGAAGCATGATAATAGAAGCAGCAAAAAGGACCCAATACAAACTCTAAGACTGCCCGAATAGCACGGCATCAAGCAGAATGGCTCACTACCATGGCAACTCACCCACCAGTACAAATTACATGTGACGCTGCAGCGACTGAAACAGAACAGAATATAGACCACTCTGCCCCAAGCTCCATGATCTGGTGGACACAAACCTGCAGCACAAAAGCAACTCACGTCAATGCCGTCTCGGAACAAGAGCACCAGCTAGTTGCGTGTCGTCGATCTCACCGCTGAAGTATCTGATGAACACCTCCCATCGTGCTGTGGGTTCTGCCAGTCTGAAGACATGTTGTCGGAGCTTGTTCTGATCCCTGCGTGCCGGATTGCAGAATTTTCCGATACAGCGGGTGAAGCAAATGGCAGATGCGATAAGATATTGGCGAACCCCTCCCCTGTGGTCGTTCGAGAAAAGTCGAGTGGCCAACCAGATGCTATGGACGCCATCTCGACAAGTTTAGAGCTTGTCACGCGCTTTCGGTACGGAAGTTCGCGAACCGATCTTCGCAACACCGCACCCGTCCCTGTCATGCTTCTCCAGCGAAGCACATAAACATGGCACACTCCGTGGAAAGAGAGCGAAAACCTTTTGCTTTCACTGCCTTCATTGACAACGGAAGAACCAGAGGCAACGCGATGTGAGATGAAATGGCATACTTTGTGTTGAAGGTGCACAATTTGGGGTTTCGGATTGAGGCTAAGGTTTTCAAGTTTCTGTTGAAGGTATTTTCCGTCTGCATGTCTCCATGCTTAAAGAATCCCTGTTCGAGGTTCTGACAAAACAGACTTATACTGCTGCCCCTCTCTTTGGTGCAGGTCGATTACATGAATATCACGGCCTTCGTCGCTCGGGAGCAGAGCGTTAGACACTGTTCCACCACGGACCCCACGGACAGGTAAAACAAACCAAGAGACTCGCCTTGCGGTAGCCTTCGACTGCATCTTGAAGAGCCTCTGCTGCCTCGTGTATCTGCAGCCGCAGGATGAAACCGTGAGGTGTATGCATGCATGCATGCATGCATGCATGTACTTGTGTGCGTTTGTGTTGCGTACTGTCTTTGTATGTATGACACCATCTTAGATACAAATATGTACAGTAGACGTGCATGCGTACATGCGTATGCAGAAATACGAATATGTGCTCCGTAGATGGATAAACAGTCAGATAGAAAGATAGGTAGAAAGACAGACATGGAGACACATTCTGAGAACATCGCCTGTGATGCGGCAGGCTTGTCTCCGAACAAGGTGTCGAAAAGGGTCATGACAAGAACACCTCAAACCAGCATAATGTCAAATGTTGCAGCTGCCGCAGCCTGATGGGATTGATCTACAATCAGCTTGTCTTTCTGAACTTGCACACACGAAAAGCAGCTCCAGTCTCAAACATGCACGGGCGCCAAGAATGATCTCACTGAGCGAGTGGTAGGAGCTGGAGTAGGTAACCGCCGTGCCAGACTCGTCGGAGCAGTCGGACATGAGAGACGAGACCTTGCGCACATGGATGCGCTCACGAGACCCCCGCGGCTTGCGTGCCGATTCACCAGAAGCTTCGCAAATTGCAGGCAGGTAGCGGTGATAGCGGCCAGACGCTGGGCGATTCCTTTCGAACTCTCACTTCCATCGTAGGTGAAGTACCTGAGATGAGTATAATGTGGGCAGAATGATTCTGAAGTTGGCTTAGTCTCTGTCGCGATGTCCCGCCAGGTAGCATGAAGCCCCACGTCACGAAAAACACCACGACCACCGTGAGCATCCTGCGAAGACCAGCCAATTCAAGGAGCTCTTTCGTCACGACACGATACATGCCAGTGCAGACCTTTGCCTTCGAGCTAAGCCCTTGACTAGAAACGGATGCCATGAATCACACCATGCAGTCACGTAGAGGGCTTTGGAAAAACCTCCATCAAGGTCCTTGTAATGTCGGAGCACCAGCCGAGGGCCACGAAACCAACCTGACCTCAGACGTAGTAGCAGCAGAGTAGCAGTCGTAGTGATAGTAGCGAAGTGCAATACCCATAATTAGCCAAATCTTAAGAGTAGCAATGATAATAACAACATGGACAATCAATAACAATACATACAATAACAAGAAGAGAAATACTAAGAAGATAATTGTAGGAGCCCCCTCGGACTTCTGATGCCTCGAACAGCAACGAGAAGCCCCAATTCAAGCATCCTGCTACATGTCGCAAGTATCTCACGAATACCGTGAGTAACAAGAATCGCCTAGAAATCGGCTGACAATCAACTCCAATCGCATCTGCTGTACCATCTGATCGAAAGTGCTATCACCCAACATCGGGTGTTGTAGCGCAGCGTCCGCTACTAGCAAATTCGGCAAAGGCACCAGGTAAACCAAGGTAGAGATCCGTCAAACCCCCAAACCCATGAGAGGACCGACCTCTCTTGCCTGTGCTCCAGGCCCACAACAGAAGCGAAGACCACAGCAGCCACTCGCTCCAATGCTGCCTGGCAAAGGGCCCAAGGTACGAGTAGCCTAGAGTAGCCTAGTGGGACACAGCTCAGGAAACCGTTCGAGCAAGAATTCTCATGCCCAACGGGCTGCTTCTAGACGGTCCCGTCAGCCTTGAGTGTGCCTCCACTGTAGCGTGACATCAGGATGACCTCATCAAAGCGACATTACAGAACCCATGATGGATCGGAGTGCTAGCATACTTGACGCATCTTTCCTTGGCTGAAGAAGTTCCAGGTGTCCACAGGTAATTTCACCGTTTTCGAACAAATAAACGAAGCAGAAGCTCTGGCTTTGTAGCTTTTCAGGATTGGCGCGCTAGACCAAAGATCCACTTTCAAGTTGGAGTAACATGCACGGTGAGGTCAACCATTTAGGTTTGTGTGGTTCGTGGGCGCTGTGTCCTCAGCGAGTCAGACGTTTTTCGAAACCACTGCCGAATTCGCAAACCCTCGCAGTCTTTGCCCGATTGCTAGCCGATCTCAGGCTGCGGAAGATGTCCGCAGCAGAAACGACCAATGATTAAAAGCCAAATTGAGCACCGCAACCTACGCCTGAAGAGATCTGCACTAATATACTCCATGCGAGGGAGGGAAACGGAGCCAGTATGTGACAGTACAACGGGACCAAGCCCGCTTTGTAGACGAAGGTTACACCGGAGACAACTTCCGTCGACATGTTGATCAGCCAATACCACAGGAACTGTGGTGTTGGAGCGAGGACTTGACTGTACAGTGGTACCAGAGCCATGCTGTAGACGAAGTGTGCAGCCGAAGCCATTCCTGACAACATCTGCAGCATGGCATAGTGTAAAAGCTGCGGTGTCGGAGCCAGTACGTGCACACAGAGAGGGACCACGCCCATGCTGTAGACAAAGTGTGCGCCAGTTGTGATTCCGCAGCACAGCTCAGCCAATGCTTTCCAAAACAGTTGCGGCATCGGGGCCAGAACGTGCAAATACAAAGGAACGAAGCCCATGTTGTAAGTGAACTGCATGCCAGAAGCCACCACAGTGCAAATCTGGACAAGAACATACCACAACAACTCTGGCGCTGGAGCGAGCACATGGTAGTACAGTGGCATGAAGCCCATCTTGCAGACGAACTGCACACCCGAAGCGATTCCCAACCACAGATTGCCTACGGCATAGTATGTCAGACTTGGTGCCGGCATTAATACGTTGACATAAAGGGGGATTAGACACATGCTGTGAAGCAACTGCGCACCCAAAGCTATTCCGCAGAACACGTCCCCGAAAACTTTGCAACAGACCCATGGAAACGGAGCCAGTATGTGACAGTACAACGGGACCAAGCCCGCTTTGTAGACGAAGGTTACACCGGAGGCAACTTCCGTCGACGTGTTGATCAGCAAATGCCACAGCAACTGTGGTGTTGGAGCGAGGACTTGACTGTACAGTGGTACCAGAGCCATGCTGTAGACGAAGTGTGCAGCCGAAGCCATTCCCGACGACATCTGCAGCATGGCATAGTGTAAAAGCTGCGGTGTCGGAGCCAGTACGTGCACACAGAGAGGGACCACGCCCATGCTGTAGACGAAGTGTGCGCCAGTTGTGATTCCGCAGCACAACTCAGCCAATGCTTTCCAAAACAGTTGCGGCATCGGGGCCAGAACGTGCAAATACAAAGGAACGAAGCCCATGTTGTAGGTGAACTGCATGCCAGAAGCCACCACAGTGCAAATCTGGACAAGAACATACCACAACAACTCTGGCGCTGGAGCGAGCACATGGCAGTACAGTGGCTTCAAGCCCATCTTGCAGACGAACTTCACGCCCGAAGCGATTCCCCAAGACAGGTGGGCGGATGCATTCGAATCGTCTGCAGCAGCAACAGAGCAAGCCACCTTTGCCAAGGCGAGACAAACCTTGGCTTTTCTCTTTAGCAACACCGAGTATCTTGAGCAACTCGGAAACCACCAAAAACAGGAAGAAGGATCAACGAAGACCCAGAAGCTACACATGCCCATATGGCTGCATGCACAGACCACCTGTCATTCCAACGCCGAGATCCAGTCCTGTACCCGAGCTTGGGGCTTCCAGGGCTTGCGGTTTAGGCAAGGGTTGCATGGACTGTGAAATCTTGGGGGCTTGTTTTCAAGCCTAGGGTGCAAGGCCTGAAAGACCAGCTCCTGCTCCCTGTCTGCATCAGAGGATGCTGCTGCCCTATGAAGAAGGTGTTGGCATGGCAGCGACGCCGGTCCTGACGCGATTTGCGGCCGAAAGCGCGGCACCGGAGGCGATTGGTTGTATTGAGGCCGGTGGCTTCTGCCAAGCTTACTAACAGTGTTTTGTGCCTGAATTTGTCAATCGCTCCTTCTACCATCGTAGGCTCATCCTCTCTACAAGCCCGAACATGACATGCAATTTTTAAGTGATCGTGTTGTTCTGCTGTCGTGGCTTTTCACCTGTTAGTGTTGTTCGACGGCTGTTCTCTCATCGTTCCACCTGTGAAATTGAACTCGGATCACAAAATCCCAACGCTAGCTTCCACCGACTAGTATGTGCAGGCTCTTGTGACCTTGTCCAGGCATTGCCCGAAAGAAAACAAATCAAGCAAGCAAAACAAAACATAACAAACAAACAAACAAACGATCGAACGAACGACAAACAAGCAAGCACCAGCAGGCAAGCACACATACGACTAAGGACACTTATACATATGTATATGCATATATATGTAGATATTCATGTGTATATGTGCATACACAGATACACTCAAACCACAAACTGCTAAAGTCGCATGCAACCTCCCGAAGGATGAAGGATGGTTTCGGGTCTCCTGGTTCTGAGGTCTTAGAACCTGGTGTCTGATGGCTTCGGGCTCGCAGGGAAGTCCTGGATTCGCGCGTTGCAGTAGGGACAGGCATCCCGGGGCAGCAAGAGCGAGCAGCCGCTGCAGCACACGACATGTCCACAAGGCCGGAACAGCACGTCGGGTTTGCCAATAAGGCAAACCACACAGACATGTTCGGCATCGATGTCCATTGCAAGGCACGGCACTTCTGGCCGCAAAGCTTGGGAAGGACTGGCTGCGATCAACAACAGGAGTTCGGCTAAGAACCAGCACCGTCATCACCAAAACACTCCGCCTCTTTGTGTGCCACACCGGCCATCCACAGAACAGTTTGCATCCATCCGACTCCCCTGACCTCTGATCCCTCCCCAACCCACCCCCCGTTGTCCCTTCCCCCTTCCCCCTTCCTCCTCTCCCCTTTCTGTTCGTCTCCAGTTTGTGACCTCCTCCTCTTTCTAAGCTCCTCCCGTGCCTCCCCACCACCGCTGCACCTGCCTGAAAGAGACTGATCATCGAGGAAAACCCTAGTGAACCTGGTAAGGGAGGACGGACGCTAGCATCAGAAGCATAGCTGCTGCCAACAGGCATTGATGTTTGCAAGACCGGCAGTGTACTTGTTGATGAAGCACACCGGAGCCTGCGCGGAGATTCTCTCGTGCGACAGCACCATCGAAGACAGCGGCAATGCCAGCAAAATTGCTGCAAGACCAAGAAAAGTAGAATATGTAGGAACACCATGCAGCAGCGACACAACACCTTCCACCAGCATCCATGTCACTGAATCCGACAACAAGGACACTTACAAGAACTCACTGCTTTCCTCTACCGCTCCTCGCCGATGCAGCGGTACTTTGGATCTTGCATGAAAGCTGTGTAGCCCCATCAGATGGCAGAGGTTTGTCTCAGCCTCTCCAGTTGGGTTGGCTTTGTAAGCTTCCAGGGCGGCGTCGTCACACCAGCCTCAGGAGAACAAGGCAATGAATGATCCATCAGCATACCGGTAACCGTTGGGCTTCACAAACTGCGAGGATTTGCAGATCTCAGATACTACCAGACTCCGGAGATGCAATGTCAAGGACACTCTACTACAGCATCATTGGTAACGCTTGGTGGCGCTGCCACCTGCGGTACGAGAGATACTCATGATTTCCAACTCGGTAGCTTTTGGCATCGTTTCTTACCGAGGTAAGGAATTTGAGCAGCTGCTGCACTAGGTTACAGGCATCGTCCAGCAAGCAAATATGGTCAAGCTCAGAAGTCGCCTACTCAAACACTTAACTTACCACGTGCTCGTATGTGCCCCCGCTGTGCGAGCAGTCACACCGCACTATCCTTTTACCAAGTCTCAGGTCATGTTCTATTGTATGCAATACCGTATCATATTGATTATGTTGTACTCTCTGTGCCTGTCCCACCAACCCCCCACCACTCTCTCCATGTATCTGCAGCCATCCCTTTCTCAGGAACATGTCTGGGAAGAATTGAAAGTTTTTGGGAGGGGCAGGATAGGGCTTGCGTTGATGAGGGTCACAGATGAGGGTCATTCTTGATTTCTCCTATGCACCAATACTGTCGAAGCAGCCACGATAGCCGATGAAGAAGTTGACAAGCAGACAAAGTGTCGCGGTTGCCGCCCACCTTCCATGTGACATCGAAAATAGATAATGAAGTTATCAATACTGGAAGCTCACAGTGCAAGATTGAGGACCGAAAGCACAGATCAAGACAACCTCGAACGATGGATGCCTTAGGTCGCCCTTGTCATAGGTGAACAGGCCCACGAGTGGGTTGCCACATTGCATCAAGCCTCCACGACCTCTCAGCAAGGCTCCAACTAGCTTGCAAGTCTCGAGACTTAGTAACTTCGACAGTATGCACAAACACACAACCGGCACTTCTCCCCCTGCTGCCTTTGTACTCAATGAAGAACTTCGACTGATCCTGAACCATCTGCGCGAGGTAGCAGATCGTGAGCACCACGTAATGCTCTCCGAGCACCTGCAAAGGGAAGAATAGCCATCAGAATGGATAAAGGCAGCAAAGCGAGATCTGTGTTTCATGATGCAATAGAGCTTTCGAGCGATACTACGCAAACGATGTCACGTATTGAAAACCAACCATGCCTCCACATCGGCAGCAACATCTGCAAAGCCACAACTTCCAACCTGCCTGAGGCCTCGAAAACTGACGGCCTTTGATCGCAAACTAGGCTCCACACTTTGCTCAGCGGGTTTGATACGTCAGCTTCTACCATGTCACAAGCTTAAACAGACGTAAAAAACGCTCAAAGATTCCAAAGACTGGGCTTGCGACGCTGTCGGTAATCCTATATGATGATGACTGCCCTTCATACACACATCTTGACCAAGTTTTCGAAAAGAACTAGCAAGGCACGTGGTGCGCGACAGCCTGCGCTTTGCTGGAATTTGGTTCAACCGACACCAAGGCAAAAACCGTTAAGAAGAAGTTGTCGAAAAAGTCCCGCAGATCGCGCCCGACGTCCGCCAAATCAGAAGAACTCTGCTGGTTGCCACTATTCACTGCTCTAGAAAGTCCCCGCCGTCAGAACAGCATTTTGGCTTGGGCACTGCTATATTAGGAGGGAAATCGCATGTGCTAGAACACACCCGAAGTGAACACCTTTACGTCATGAGCGGTGCAACACTTCTCTAGGATGACGCCATCCAGGAACAGCGTTCCCCGACCTCTTCCTGAATCTTCTTGTTGCCAACTCCCCCCTGGGCCGCTTTAACCTGCCAAAGTGCTCAGATGCCAAGACTACCAGGGTTGAAGGCCTGTGTTCCGGTCAGCTTGAGAAATGAAATCCGCCTTCTGCTGCAACGCGTCCACCAATCCTGGCATCTTCTCGATCTCTGCCTGACATCCATCGAGCAGGTGCATAAATGTACATACCGGAATCATCCCAGACTAGCAACACCCGGAATTCGCGGCCTTCAGTTTGGCTTTCTCGTCTTTGCTTACAGACCCATCCTCACAGGCGTCGATCAACATCTCCACCATGCGGAGGGTACCTCACCGCCAGTCTGGCTCTTGAGGACTGAGAACAAAGTCAACATTACATCCACATAAGCAGGGGGCTGTCGACGACGTTCGTCATGGGCGTCTTGATATGCTTCATCATGGCTGAATGACCTCATCAGAGGTGTCTTGGCGGTTGAAGTGGCGCAACCAGCTGCTTGCACCTTTACCGTGAATCAAGCTCGGCACTTGGTCCAAAATCCTCTTCTGCAACAATGTTAAACAATGGACGGGCAGTCTCGATCAAGTCCTTGCAGGAACGGCAGCGCACGTTTCAGTCTGTGGAGTCTGGTCTCACGTCCCAGACATGTCTTAGGCAGTCCCGAATGAGTGAAGTCAGCTTCGTCGTAAGGAGTAGCCGGCTGCTGGAGCCCAAGGATTCATACCAGGATGCTTGACCTCGTGCCCAGGCTTTTGGAACTGCCCTTCACTTGCAGAAATTTTGCCGAGAGGCCGTAAGCTTCTGCTTCTTCAAGCTCTTTGGTAAGCAAAGCGAAGTTTTCCTGCTCAACAGTCCCAGCTGCTTCTTTGCCGCTCCGCTACTCCCAGACCCTTGCAGGGTCGACTTAGCAAAACAATACGGATTTTGTCGCTTCTTGACGTCTGGTAACGAATCTATCCGTCATACGACAGTATGGAAGAAGGGCAGGGAAGCTTTCTCCGCCGGATGGTGGGACTTTGGACTAGTGATTGAACCTGCAGGCTTTCTGGATGGACACACAACACTTCGAGCGGCCAAACGAAGATGCGCACGACGAAGTTTCTGAAACATGTAGCGTGCGTCAACACTCGGCACATTATCATGTGTGTTCATGCCATTTGGCTTGTTCGCAAGCCCCTGTTGCAGTTGTAGTTGTTTGGTGCAGAAATAGAAAAAGCTCCATATTTTGCCCCACAAACCCCTCAACGGAGCCCACGCGGTACATTACCCGGTAGGGTCCATCTCCTAAACCCTCATGCAGTGGACCTGCAAAAGACCAGTGCCAGTAGCGGTTGAGACACTTGCGTTCGTAGAGGAGGTTGGAGGGCGGCCCTCTTCGAGGGACATCAACACAACATCTTTCAGAATCTTTCAGTTCATGCCCCCTTTCGTCTGATAAGCACTGTGAGCAGGGTCTAGCAGTCTGAGCCTGGACCATTATCCCTCAATCCTCCCCGCTTCTTTGCGTCCCTGGAGGAGGAATGCAAGGAATTGGGAACTGGGAGGATAGGAGACAGCACCGTCATTTTCAGAGTATGCATCGTAAATATGCCCGCTCCTTGATGGAAACAATGTCCAAGCCCGCCGTGTCCCGAGCATAGTAGGTGTTCAGCTCCCTGATGGCTTGGCACTGTCAGAGAAGCAGAGATTCCGGATACTTCGTCAAACAGTCTGCAGCAAACTGGTGGACGGACATACACATCAAGACCAAGACACTGGATGTTCTGCTTGAGCTTCTTCAACACAATCACCTCATCATAGACTCTTTCAGACAGTTCAAGCTGATGCTGCGCTTAGCTCTGCCGACTATTGCAGGCAGGTCTCTACGCGCTTCTGGCCACGATCCAGGGACAGGATAGGGGGGATCGCAAAAATCAACATGGAAAGAACGCCGGCAACAATGAAGAGAACGATTCCCTCAGGTCGTGCACATTCAGGTTCAGGTTTCTGCCGAGCACTTCCACTCTGGTGTCCCACTAGCACTACCTCCTCTATCGCCTCCCGCATTTGTGTGGTGCGCGCGCCTGGACTACACGCCATAAAATCTGACAATTGATTCCGTGCTTGCAAAGTGACTGTCTGCAAGCATTAAATGAAATTCAAGGCTCGTTCTCTGCAGTTCCACGGTAATCGAACTTGAAGCCACCTGATGCCGAAGTAAAATGCAGCAGCTGACATTCCAGGCTCACTTGGACAGTTTCCAGCACATAGCAGAATAGCGCAGCTCGACACAGGTAGAACTTGGCACATTCAACCTTACAGACCTCTTTGATAAGGAACCCTATTCCAATTAGGCCTACATTACTATAGTAGTAAGTAGTACCCTTATAGAACCCCTCTCTGGCTGACATTCACATGGGAGTTTCCGAAAATCGGGGAACCAAAAGTACCCTAAATAGTAGGATCCTTATTATAAGGGACCCAAAAACAAGGTACCCCAATTTTCGGAAACTCCCACATGGGATAAGGAACTTGCTAGCTCCAGCCTGTCGAATGTTCATTCTCCACACCGGGCTTCACCATGTTCATCGCAAAACCGCCCGTAAAGGAGATCAGTGCCCAAAAACGCACTGTCTCGTCGATCTTCAGGAAAATCAAGCCAAAAGTGTAGAGAGAGATCACCACCAGAGCCGCATAGAGCACTGAAGTATTCCTTGCAGGCTTGGAATCTGCTAACCGCTGGCTAAACTTTTCATCACACACTGACATTGCATTGACTGTCAGAAGGCCGACCAAAGTCTTACGGTTGAATCGCGGCACTCTCCGTCATATCCTTGGGGGAAGAATCCCATGAACACCCAGTAGACGAACCTCGTGCCACGTTTGCGCACATTTCGCCATGCTTGAAAACACGAGAGAACTGAACATCTATCACCGTCCCAACTCGTCAGGTGTCGCAGTTCGCTACTTCCGTTCCGGACCTGATAGAACCGCTGCGTCCAGTTCGATCTGTGAGTACAGAGAACCGATGCGTCCAATTCGATCTGTGAGTGCAGAAGGCCTTGCTTTTCGACAAGAAACCACGCAATCAACTGACCGATGAGGCCGTAATAGATATTCTTCACGGTGGAACCCATGTCCGAGCCGATAATAAAAAGGACGTTGCACCTCAGCTCATGAAAAGGAGGGTCAGCGTCTCAGCGCATGTGCTTCCACTGTCTTGGTGGCTTGCCGCTAGAAGCCAAGGGCCCAGCAGGATTGAGGAAGCGCTGAAGCCCATTTCGGTGAGCGTCGATCGCCGATAATAAACAGCAACAGCAGCCCAGATTGTCACCCAACCTTATTCTTGAGACCGAAGCTTAACTCACTCGCAAATCGGGCTTCAGCGACCATGTGCCCACAACTTGGCTTCTCGCTGACAGAGAAAACCAAACTCGCTCAATCAAATTTGTATGACAACTAACGATGTCTGATGCAAGCAAATACGTTGGTGTCCAGCCAATGCAACCAGTAGAAGTCATGAAGAACAAGTATGCACTGGGAGCCACACATGCCACCTGCAACGCGGTCTTGTGCGACACGACGAACCCATCCCTGCATGGTAGATTGTGAGGATCGGACCGCTCGCCACGTGCTGGGGCCCATCGTGTCCAAACATGTGAAACCAATATCAGTCGCTCAGAACATCTTGCCACGGCCAGCCTCGCATCCGCTAGGTGACCCTGGAGCTTTGAAATTGGACCATCCTCATCGGAGCCGGATGCCTTCCATGCAAGTCACGACCCAAGACCTCTGAAGTGTGCAGCCGGAGGCTCGTGCCAGCACCCGGAAGCTTGGCTGGCCTCACTGGACTCTTCGCCGTCCTCGACATCCTCCCACGGTCAGCTGATCATGTTCAAACAACGCAATGCACTGAAAGCCTTCTCGACGCCCAGGGCTTTGTAGCCTGGGCAGGTTCAGACTTGTTATTAGGTTACCACACAACACTGCAGGACGTGGCAACACGGCCACATGCAGCTGGAAAACTGTCCTTTGCCATCACCAACGATGAGCACAGCAATTCCACAAATAGTGGTGGTATGCCAAACGGGCTGCGTCCCGTCGTGAGCCGGACACGAATATGAATCGACACTTGCAGCTTTCTATTCAGCTGAAAGACAAAACGAAATGCACCGATGAAACGTTAAATCAAATGGTGGAACGACAGACACAGACGGCCGCCACATGTTTCGCAGCAAGGCTCGACAAGCGACATTTGCAGCAGCAGCAGCAGCACCACCACCACCACCACCACCAGCCATAACATCATCGTCATGGTCATCATCGTGACCGTCACCGTCATCATCGTCAGGATCAAACCATCCGGTCATCAAATTGTCTCATCATCAGTTCATCAAATCATCATCATCATTATCATCATCATCATCATTTCTTAGCAGATCTAGCTGGAGATAATCTAGGACAATTCATGGCAGTTAAAAAACCCTAGGCAAGCTCTGATCAGCCAGTCAACAAATTGATTGAATTTTGGACGAATTCTTGATTTAAACTGCCTAACATGCATGTTTGTCCCAATCGACATGATCAGATTGCGTAACCTGCAAGCATTGAAATGACACCTGTCTCGAACTAATGATTTTGAAAAAAAAAACTTGTTGGGTTTCACATCGACGCTTCCAGGCAAGTCGTACTACGACACCAACGCGAAACGAAGAACGGACAACAAACTGTGTAAAACGAAAGCTCGGACCGCACTGGGGCTTGATGTCACACCAACACCTGTGTGCTTAGCTGCTAAACTCTTCTTAATTCTTCGCAACATCTGAAATTTGTCCGATCAGCTGCTATGCTTCTTCGCCATAAACCACTCTTCTCACGTAAAGCTACACACATCAACAACATTCCGCTATGCTTACCGCATCCTCGTCTGGGTGGTTGATAAGCAAACAAGCACTGAAGCATTTCTGATACAAAAGATTCCAATCTTAACATTTCGTCTGAAGGCCATACTACCGCTCTTGGATTCTAAAGCAATATTCAAGTATTCGAGGGATACTTGGTCAAGGATTTTACGTCTTGAAAAAGCTTCTGCCAGCCTTTATTTAAAAAGAAAATGTCAAACACAGTAACTCAGAAATCGAAAAAGTTGTCTGGATTCAAAGCGACAACCACAAGAGTCTAGGAAACCCAGTGAATCGTGCCACATGTAGTCAAATAACTAGTTTCGAAGCTTTTTAAGCAAGAGAGTGCGCCATTATCATCGGAGCAGTCCGAAAATGATTTTTCCAAACGAAACCAGAAAGATCGTCTTGTAAATGTATGTACTGTGCAGGTTCCTCAAAAATTTTACCTTTTTTGAAAAGCGCTCCCTTTTCCTTGTAAGCCAGGGCTTCGGATAGTGCGAATGATCTCCCCTCAGTGGGGTACAACGTGTGACACCCCGCCTCACTGCGGCTAGCCTCCTATCTTCAGCTGGTCGCAGTGGAAAACTCATTTAAAAGCCCGCCTGCCCTATGCAGTCAGCACATGGTGTGTAACTCTTTGTCGCTGAATTGATTATGTGACCGCATGTGGGCAAGTGGAAGCGTTGCCCCCGATTTGAGGCAACTTTCAAAAGCCCGGGCACCCGTCGTGCCCTTACTCTTTCGAGTCTTTCCTGAAGCTCACGGTTCTCTCGCCTCAGGTTCACGATCTCCTCTTCGTATCGTTCGGCTTCCCTGCTTCTTTCGTAGACTAAGCTCTCCAGCTCACGGCAACGGCGAACATATTCGTCCGCAAACCTTTTCTCGCTTGGGCTCATTCCGAGGTTGGCTTGGGTCTCGCTGCTCCTGTTGGCTGGCGTCGCTTCTGCCGGCCTTGTCTGCACTCCTCTGCTGCAGGCGGCCTTCCGAGAAGACCGACAGCACCCAAGCAACCACCATGCAACCTTGTAGATGACATACGGCATCCCCAGAAGAATCATCAAACCAATCATCCCGATACCGGCCGTGGCTGCAAGCTCGGCCACCATTTCATCATTCATCATTGCGCTTAGTGGCGTAACCCAGCTCAAGCCCTGGACGCTGGTGGCCTGCATCATCAAAACAAGCAAAGGAAGCATCGCCTTCACGTTGTTCACTTTTGCTCCTCCGCTCTTGAACTCCTTCAAGGTCTTCTGAGCCTCGCGCTTGTACTCGGCATTCTCCATGTCTTCAACACCGTAGCGCTCGAGGTCAGGGGTTCGGGCTCCCATCAGGCATAGAAGTTCACGGACCCTTGCGCCACTCAATGGCTTGGTCCCCAAGTCGGAGGGATTGCGGGCTCCCGGTATGGTGCCCACAGTGAGCTCCTTGGACTTGACGCTCTCCTGGATCCAGAGCATCCCTGTCTGTAAGTGTCGTACACGTCCACATCCGAGCCGCTGCGTGATTCCCCTCCCGGCCGAGCTGTCGGTCCTGCACTTGACCTCGATCTCAAAGCTGGGCCCAGCCAGGAAGGCAAGGCAGTCCTTCAAGTAGAGGGCCTCACAAGCACCGGCCACCACCGCAACAAACTCGCTCTCTCCACTGCTTAAAGCAATGGCCTTCTGTGACCGCACTGCACTTCCAACCAAGCTGCCTGAGACATACAGCTGGAGTGAGGTCCTCGACTTGCGGCTCCTCCTGCATCCTGCCCAATCGGCGTCTGTGATGCTTTCCACCACCAAGGTTCCACCTTCCTTCAAGTCACCATCTCCACCGTAGTCGTAGTTCATGTTGTCCCGGGCCGGTTGAAGAAGAAAGCCGACCTCTGGGGTGTTGAGAAGGTATCCCACAACTCTCAGCAACCATTTCTTGGCCATGGTCGTGGGTGCACTCATCTTGGAGCTCAGGATGCACACTGGGAACTGGATGTCTGGCCTTGAGTGGCTGAGGTACATCAGCCGGCCGACGCTCTCTTTGTAGAGCTTCGCCTCAAGAGGTGCGAGCTCCTTGCTGGTGTCGGGCTCCAAGAAGGTCGGGTCACTCGGGCTGTCTCGCCTCTTGATGTTCGGCCCGAGCTTTGCCGAAAGGGCCTCAATGTACTTGCCGTTGGGGAAGACAACCACACCCTCGCTTGTTCTCACATATCGTCTTTTGAGGAATTCGATCTCATCCCCAATCTCGGCAAGTGGGCTGCTCATTTGCAGCGTCACCTTGCTTCCAACTTGTTTTTCAAACTTCTCCTTCTGCTCTTTTGTCGCAGCCAACAAACCATCATCTGCGTGAAGTAGAAGACCCGTCTTTTCATTCGGGTCCTTGGTCTTAAAGAGGGTGGGCTCCTTGATGAAGTAGTCGAAGTTGGCCTCTTCAGTGAGGATGGTTTTCGCGAAATTGTACCACCCGCTCGCTCCTGCCCTTTGGCCGGGCAAGAGCTTTTCCAACACCAGCTCCACAAATCCACCTCCACTTTCACCGAAAACTGCCCGGTCAACCTGGATGATCACCGGGGTCGGCTGCGGCACATTGAGATACGCGTCTTTCACATCGCAGGTGTAAAGGTTGAGGTCCTGGGACAGGGCAAAGCAAATGAAAGAGTGGATCACGGCCAGGCTGGTGGATGGAGCAAACAAGTCCTCGGTCCATGCACTCAGCGTGCGATACTCTCGCCCAACAAGGCGGCTTCTCCTAATCCACCCTGGCCTCTTTCTCCAGTCCCTGACCACCTTGGTTGTGAGGAGGCTGTGGGCTGACAGATCCTCGCCAGGCTTTGGCCACCGAACCACCCCCATTTCAAGAAGCCTTTGTGATCTCGACTCTGTCGGCTTCCCTGTCGATCTTCATGAGGTCCTCCTCCGACACATCAGGCGGATCCTCGCCACCACTGTCCCAAGGATGTGGGACCTCATCGTCCTCCTCCCACGCCTCAGCCGTAGCCTCTTGAAGGTCCTCGCCCCAATCGGCAAAACCACAAAGCTCCTCGGGAGAACATCACCATGGACGTGCCGGACACCTGCAAAAGTAGGGGGGTAGAGACCTTCCGGGCTAGCTGTTGATGATGCTGCTGGCGTCCTGGTTCCTGGCCTGTCCAGTAAAAGCCTTGCACGCTTTTGTGGACCACCCCCTTGACCGCTTTGATCTGCACCTGCTGATTCTCCGGACACACCTTGCATTGGGCCAGGACCAGAGAGCTGTGATTGTCCTCCGGGTTCTGTGTGTGTGTTCTGCTGCTGCTGTTCTTGCCGCTGACCTGCTTCAGCATCTACCGCCATTGGACCAGAGAGCTGTGATTGTCCTTCGGGTTCTGCGCGTGCGTTCTGTTGCTGTTCTCGCTGCTGCTCTGCTTCAGCTGGCACCCCCGTTGGGCTTGGAGAGGAAGAGGTAGAAGACGAACTTAACTTCGGAGTAGAAGGAGGGTCGCTTGCCGCTTCGTCACCAGGAGGTTTCATTCCTGGCGTTGCTGCTGCTATGGTCTGCGCGGCTGCTTGGCCGGCTGCCCTCGCAAGCTGCTCCAAGGTCGCTGTGTCGGGCAACAAGGGGACCCTTTGTGTATACAGGGCTCGCTTCCGTCGGCCTTGGCCCTGATAGTTCCAGGGCAGGCCTTTCATCCCAAGCACGGCCGCTGCATCCCATTGCTGCTCCACCGGCAACCGCCTGATACTTCTGCTCTCGACGGCCCCCTCGCTTGTGCCCAGAATGAAGGCATTGTTCCTGTCGTTGATGCCCAAGAAGATGCCCTTGGTCCATTGCAGCTCTCCACGATGCTTGGTGGGCCTGTGAAAGATCACCTGCTCACCGAAGGGAACCAGCTTTGCTTTATACCTCCTGCCGTTCATAATCTCAAAGCTCGTGTTGCCCCGAACTCCAACCGCAAACCGGTTCATCATCAGGAAGCCTGCGTGCCGCATAGCCCACGCATACACATGCTTGTCTCCCTCGACCTTCGCCTTGATGTGGGCCTCGAGGTAGGATTTCAAGGTGAGGCTGTTGCGGCGAACATTGTCAATCGCCTTCTCGGCTTGGCCGTTGCTCTCGTGGGACCCCTTCTCGATCAGCCTGGCGGTCGTCTTGAGACCCAACCTCGCACGGCAGGCCTCCACTGCATTCAGGATTTGCTTTATCGAAGGTTCCGGGTCGCCCTGCACGGTGATGGCGTCCCCGGGGCTCACCTGAAGCGACAGCCGGACAATTTGCTCAGTAACTCGCTTCAGCGATCCAGCTCCCTTCTCTTGAACTGGGATCACAAGCATCCAGCCCGTTGTGCTCTCGGCTGCCACCAAAGTAAGACCATATTGGTCTCTGTGGTCCCCGCCTTGCTCCTCCTCCGGCTTCCGGTCCGCCGGCTGATTGCCTTGACCTTCTGCCTCATCTGGCTGCTCCGCCTGGTCGTCACCGCCAGGTTCTCCAGGAGGGTTCCCCGCCTCGGCAGGCACAGCCGGTGCTTCATGTTTTCGCTTTGTGAAGGTGAAGGCATAGTCAATCTGGATCACCGGGTCAACTCGCACCTTCTCGTCGACCTTCTACTCGACATCTTGCTGCCCTTGTGCGTGGGGCGACTGCTTGCTTCGGCCCACCACGCAGTGTTCGCACCAAAGGATGATGCGTGATGCTGTGCAGCTCCTGTTGCTTAGCCGAAGGAAGGATTGGGATGCGAGGCATGTCTGCATCTCGGCACCTTCCAGGTACATCTTCTTGGCAACCTCGGCGGTCATCCTCTTCTCAAGGACTTTTCTTTGTTGCCTCAGCCTTGCCAAGACCTTCTCTTTTCCTCCACTTCGTGAAAGACCAAGCTGGTCGCAGAGCTCCTTCAACTTCTTTAGCGGCGTCTCCACAAGACGCACACCCTCAAGGACGTCCTGCTTCTCGCCAGCCGGGACTTCAAGCGGCACCCTCGAACTCGATCTCAAGAGGGCTTTCTCCAATGCCACCGGCCTTCTCCTCCATGGAGACTGGTGCCTGAACCTCACCTCCATCACCTTGGGTTGCTAAGCAAGTCCTTCTTGAGCTCCTCGACGTGGAAGAGGATAGCCACATCTCGCCGTCCAACTAGATCTTCCTCCAACTCGTGCTCGAACTCGTGGTTTCTAAGCGTCAGGAGCTAGACCCACACATCTCCAGGTCGAAGCGGCTTGGTTGCTTCCTCAACCCGGACAAAGACCGCAATCCAGGCCCAATCGTCGGCTGACCAAATGGACTGCTCTAGGTTCAGCTTCTCGGTCTTATGTATGCTCAGGAGAGGCAGTCCACTGGGAAGAATTCCCCAGCAGGCCTTTGCACGAGATCCTCGGCAACCTTTAGAAGCTGGCCATTGCTTGTCAGGTTGCCCTTGCCAGTGTAAGGTCGGCTTGTTCTTGCTCTTAGTCTTCCTCTTGCTCTTCTAGTCTTTGCTCTTTCCTTTTTCTTTTGCTTCTTTCCTCTTCTTGCTTCTTGCTTTTGATCTGGTCGACGCAAGCCTCCATCATCTTTTCTGCCGCCTTTTTCTGTGCTGCTCCACCGTGTGTTAAGACTTTCCCATTGCAGAATCCATTTTCTGATCTCGCTGTACTTTGTCTCCGACGTCAAACGCAACTGCAGCTCGAAACGCAAAGGTTCTCATTTCTGTAAGAACCGTCGCCAAGACCAAGTTCTCCGGGAAAAACATGGATGGTCTTATAGCCAGACTTTGTGCCGTCACAGCTCTTGATCAGCAGAAGGAGCGCCTACGAACCACACAGCCGCTGGCTGCTGCCCACTATGTCATCTAGAAGAAGTCCTAGTCGAGGTTGCGCAGGTTCTCTTCATAAAAGAGACTCGTTTCGAATTAGAACCACCACTCTAGGTTCTCACCCGCTTCCATTGGTCTTTTACACTCTTCATGAGCTTCTCGCCCGCTGTGTCGCGATGTTGTTCTAGGCTGCCTTGGCAGCCGTTCCATGCGCTCTAGGTTCCTTGCCCGTCATTGGCCTGCTGTTGCTGCGGCTGTTGCAGTCCTTTTGATGTGGCTGCTGTTGTCCTTGTTGTGGCTGTTGCGGTTCTTTGTTGGCTGTTGCTGTCCTTGCGTTCCATCCATTCTGCCGTCCCGTGAGGTTGAAAGAAGGCGTGGTGCACAAGTTAGGCCAACCCAAGGTGCAAGACCGTAAACCATCCACTGCATCATGGATGGCCGACGCACGCAGAAAAGTCAGTGTCCTCGTGTGGTCCAACAACCGCGACAGGTATGGTGATTGGTGGGAGACCGCGGCGAGCGTCATCAATGCCTCAAAATCAACTTGGGTAATACTCTTGCGTTCGATAAATCCGCCATGGCCAGGTATCAGGGCATACGCTGCGCCAAGTGAGCAAAACACGACGGTGATATTCCGTGTACAGAGGAGGCCCTTCCAAGCATCCTAGAGAACAGCTTCCGGAATTGGCTCCGTAAGCACCTCGTGTTCCTCCCCCTCAAAGAGTGGAGTTGCCGCAGTGTAGAAATGAATGTCCTTCCTCGTCTGGCCTGTTGCTAGGAAACTTTGTCCGCCGTCTGGCCCGCTTGCGACAGGAGCTTCAGGATGCAAAGGTGTGGTATTGTCTGCGTGTCTACAAGATGTCTTGACTAGGTAGAAGCGTGCAAAGTCGCTAAGACTTTAAGACCCTGAAAGCAGAGCAAAGAAGACTTCGCAGGCATGGTTTTGTCTGCTGCCCCGTAGAATGGTAAGTAAGCCTTGTCGTTTCTCACACGATGGCACGAATGTTTTAACGCGCATTGAACCCGGCACTGAGAGTGATCAGCGGTCAGTGAGCTTCGCTGTCGCCTCTCTGGTGTTGAACTGTTGCCCCAGCGTGAGTATCTGTTGAGCAGTGACTAAGCTCTGCCAGCTTTTAGCACGTGAGTCAGTGAGTGTGAGTGAGTGAGCTTTGCTGTGACGAACGGTTGCCTGCAGCGCGTACATTCTTCTTCGCTGTCGGGTGAGCAGTGACCAAGCTTCGCTCTTTCTTGTCCCAAGGAATGAATGTTTACGGTTTACGGCTTTGAGCCCGGCGCTGAGAGTGATCAGCGGTGCGACCTTGCTGTGACCCGAACTGTTGCGTGAGCAGCTAGTAACTTCTTCGTCTTCGGTTGAGTGTGAGTCTTGAGTCTTGTTGTGTTACTAAACTTTTCGGTTCAGCAGTGTGCAAGCCTTGTCTGAGGCAGGGCACGACTGTTTTACGGGCTTTGAGCCCGGCACTAAAAGCGATGACGCTGCGGAGTGGGGTTTGCCATCTGGCAATGAGGTCTGCCATCTGAGCCGGTGAATGTATGAGCATTGCCCAAGCTGCTGCTTGAGCAGCTTGTAAACTTTTCGGCTCGTCAGTGACGAAGCCTTGCTTTGACGTAATCCCAGCCTTCTTTTTCTGAAGGCCACCAAAAAACGTGGTTGCGTTGCAGTGTAGGGTTTAGGATGAGTAAGTGAGCCTTGCTGTATAGTCCATGTGGTCAGCCAAAACTCTTTGTTGACATCTAGCAGGTTTTTCCGAATGCACGAATGTGAGCCCGTCATATCATGCTCATTCGCAAGTGCTTCTGAAATGTTGAGCCTGTTGCAGTGTTGCAAGGTCGAAGCTGAGCACCGTAGTCTTTTACGTAGAGCAACACGCAGCATGGGAAATCTGGATCCGAAACTGTCCGCTTGCAGAAAGCTAGGACAGGCAGACTCTACTGATCCGCCGCAGTTTGATTCGAGATTGTATGCTGCAGGGTGTGAGGATACAGACGAGGGAACCTGAAAGAGCCCAGCGGTGGCGAGCAAATGATGTCACCCTTAGGACAAAGCCGGTGGTATAATACTCAGCTGCCAACTGAGTTTGATTGACTCCGGCATGTCTGGGACCTTCCACCGTTCTAATAGTGTTATACTACCCAAAGGGTGTGTAAGTGGGTTCCCTTGGTTTTTGCAGCAGATGGAGTGGGTTCCCTGTGGGTTCCCTTGTTTTTTGCAACACTTCAGGTGGGCTACATATGGGTTCCCTTGTTTTTTGCAGCATTTCGGGGGGGTCTGTGTATGTTCTTCACTTAGCTTTCTTGTAGATTCCCATGGTTTTTGCAGCATGGACGGTGGGTTACCTGTGGGTTCCCTAGTTTTTGCAGCATTTTTAAGTGGGTTCCCGTGGTTTGTGGCAGTATCGACGGTGGGTTCTCTGTGGGTTCCCTTATTTTTTGCAACGCTTCAGGTGGGCTACATGTGGGTTCCCTTGTTTTTTGCAGCATTTCGGGTGGGTCTGTGTCTGTTCTTCATTCAGCTGTCTTGTAGATTCCCATGGTTTTTGCAGCATGGACGGTGGGTTCCCTGTGGGTTCCCTGGTTTTTGCAGCATTTTTAAGTGGGTTCCCATGTTTTGTAGCAGTATCGACGGTGGGTTCTCTGTTGGGTTCCCTGGTTTTTTGCAGCATTTGAAGTGGGTTCCCATGGTTTTCCAATCTATATCACTCAAAGGTTTGGGCGGGCTCCCTTAGCTTTTGCAGCATGTCAGCTGGGTTCCCTGTGGGTTCCCTGGTCTTTTGCAGCATGTTTAGTGGGTTCCCATGGTTTAACAGCATCGACGGTGGGTTCCCTGTGGGTTCCTTGCTTTTTCCAGCATTGCAAGTGGGTTTTTCCAGCATATATTGCGCAAAGGTCTGGGCGGGCTGCCTTGGCTCTTGCAATGTGTCAGCTCGGTTCCCCTTGGAGTACATGTGGGTTCCCATGGTTTCTCCAGCTCGCGTCTGCTGTTTGCAGTTTGGGTCGAGACCAAAGACGTTAAACAGGCCCACCTCTGATGCACATGAGGCTCGCCGCCCTCCTATTGTAATGCTCTTGATAGGTTTGCTGCGGCTAAATGCTGGCACGGTGATGCAAGGATTTTGCGGCATGTACTGGCAGACGTTAATCTCAGCTTGTAGCTTCAACTGTTTCGATTGTTTGCTGTACGTGCGCGGTGCTTTTTGCGTCTGGAAGCTCCACTTGCAGGAGCTCTTTTTTCCTACAGAATCGTAGGAAGCCTCGAAGGGCCTCCCCTGCGCGGGAAAGATCTTGTACGAACAAGAACAGAAGCACTTGTCTTGAAACGGCAGCCGATGGCAAGTTTGGCAAATTTTCCAAAAGTATCTCACATTTCACAGCATGTTGGCTTTCTTGGACGTTGATCTAAACAGCACGTGGAAGGAGTTTTGTTTTTTCCGTGCAGTTTTCCAGCTGAAACGGGTTTCAAAAAGCAGCTCTAGCCCGGGCACCGAAACGGGCCCCAGATTTCGGCTTTCTTCGTTGGACATACAAGCTCACGCAATTCGGGGCCCCAAATTAGAGCTCAGATTTGGGAGCCATTTCCGGGGCCCAGTTATGCCGTTTTTTCGTCGAGCAGATGCCACATCTGCGTACACAGCTGGCCGTTGCGTGCAACAGTATAGAAACCTCGCCAGCTCTGTTTTGCATTTTGCCGGTGTTCCTTCAAAACTCAAAATAACAAGTGGAACGCTCGCAAACATGTGAACCTTGCAAACAGAACTTTCTCACACAGAGGAGGCCCTTCCAAGCATCCTAGAGAACAGCTTCCGGAATTGGCTCCGTAATTCGAGCGCTCTTTTGGCTCAAGTGTTGCAACGATGTCCGACATGGAAGCACCTCCTGTTCCTCCCCTCAAAGAGTGGAGTTGCCGCAGTGTAGAAATGAATGTCCTTTCTCGTCTGGCCTGTTGCTAGGAAACTTTGTCCGCCGTCTGGCCCGCTTGCGACAGGAGCTTCAGGATGCAAAGGTGTGGTATTGTCTGCGTGTCTACAAGATGTCTTGATTAGGTAGAAGCGTGCAGAGTCGCTAAGACTTTAAGACCCTGAAAGCAGAGCAAAGAAGACTTCGCAAGGCATGGTTTTGTCTGCTGCCCCGTAGAATGTAGAAGACAGTAGCACGGCAGCTTTCTGAATCGCAGTAAGTAAGCCTTGTCGTTTCTCACACGATGGCAGTAATGTTTTAACGCGCATTGAACCCGGCACTGAGAGTGATCAGCGG